AATTACTACATCTTGATGGAGCTGAGCCTAACAGATGTAAAGCTTTACATGGACGATGCTCTAGGCTTTTCTACCAAATTTCAGGCGTCAAATCTCGGAAGCAGAATTTTGTTTCCGGTATTGCCAACGGTTAATCCAAATGGACGTTTTGCTCGGTTTGCAATGGAAGGTTTTGAAATCGGGTTTAAGTTGGAAAAGAAGTCCCATGTGGCCACGTTACCATGCAGCTTGTATTTTCTACTTTGGCTCGCCAACTGTAATTCTTGTCCTTCTCTGCCGGCATAACTTAAACATCCTCCGATTATTGACAAGTGATCGGAATTTTTTTTTTTTTTTTTTTGATGTTTCTTTTCTTATTAATTGCCGGTTAAATTCATCTTCTTTTCATTTCTTAAAATTTTTTAATGAAAGAAAATTTTTGTTAAGATTGAATTGATAGTGGATATACTGTAATATCGAATAGCAACATTTTTATATTTTTTTGAATGGAAAATTCTCAATTTGGCCCGGCTTTCAGATTTATTCTTTTTATATTCAGTACTCCCATAATTAAATCAACTCGCCTGGTTAATTAGTTTCCCATTAATAATTGTTCCAATTAAAGGTCGTTGGATTGCAAAACCCTAGCTAAATTGAGATTGTATGTTGAATTGAAAGGAATGAGACGTTTTTACAGTGGACAGTAGACAAACCAAGTATAACCATTCCCTGCTCATTTACCGAACTACCTGTATCCACTTTAGGTGGTCTGTTGTTGCTGAGTGTCCGAAACACACGTGTCATCTGGTATTTTTTATGGCGACTTTCATTATATTTGAGCAACCCGTATTTCACATCAGTGCCAAAGCTAACATATCAAGCAATGTTCTGTTTGGCGGCCACATTTCAAAATCTTGCATGTCTCAAAAATGAAAACTTATCGCTTCCTAATTGAATTCTTGGAGAAAAATACATTTTTGGAATTGCTTTACAATTTTAATTATTTTTAAATTCATTTTAGTAATTACTATTAATATCGAGAATACACTTTATTTCCGCTTATTCAATTATAATTATATCGGTTTTAATTAATATTTTTTTTTATAATTTTGCTTAATGGCTGCTGAAGTGCTGACGGCTTGAAGGCTGTTCTTGTTTTTCCATCGATTGCTTTATAAAGTTAACTGCAATTATAATTAGGCAGATTCACCTTCCCTGCCGGTTTTCCTTATCTTTAACCACGGTGCAATTCTTTCAAGATTTGGGTTCCACAAAATCTCTATAAAAGCCAAAGCTTACATAAATTGCTTTGAAACCATCTACTTTTCCATTCTCTGTCACTACTCTCTCTCTCTCTCTCTCTCTCTCTTTCGGATGGCGGACAGTGTCTTTCCAGACTCCAACCATTGCTTTCTCTTACGTGCCTAAATCGACGTAAGCTTGACATGATGAGGGCTTTAACTTTGCCGCCGAATTTTGCCATCAAGTCTCCGTATCAGAGTCTTTGATCGCCGATTATGCCGGCGGGTTTCTACTGATCATGACACGTGCTCCATTTGGCATGAAAGGTTTGATAATCGGGTTCGAGCCTGAAAACGAGTCCCGTGTGGTTCACGGTATATACCATGCAGCCTGTATCTCCTCTTGGCTCTCTAACTGCACTCCTGCCCTCTCTTGCAGGTGTAACATCTCGGTTGAAAAAGAGGACCGGATAACGTTTTTTTTTTTTTTCATTACTTGTTCTGTTAGTATTTATTATTTTGTTATAAGGAGATTTATTTTTTTCAATCATCTATACTATTTTCGCTCTTTTTATATTCTCTCACGGCGATTAGAAATGATAATATTATGCATTAATGGAAACAGAGATGAAATATTAAAAAAAAAAAATATGAATCAGACACTGGGGATATGCACATTCCTCTAACCAAACTCATTAAATAATGCCAAAGAAGCCATTTTCTTATTAAAACCATTTTAATTTTCTTCTTTTTTAGTTTTTTATAATGGTTAGAAGCTTAGAATTCTCGTTTTCAAAAAAAAAAAAAAAAAAAAAAAAAATTCTATATTAATGAAATTACTTGCAGTTATTTAATAATAAAATTTGATCAAAACTAATTTAACTTCATTTATATACAATATAGAAATATGAAATTTTTAATTAAATAACCAAAAATTTTGAAATTTTTACTTTTATGGAACATTATGTTTGACTCTCACTATTCTATAATTAAATTTTAAAATATAAAAAATTCATTTTGCGATTTGAGGTTCGGTATGTTGATTAATGTGATCATTCTACTATGCTCCAATAATATTTGATCATCAAATTCATTATTGCAGTTATTAATAATAAAATTTGATTCAACTGTATTTAACTTCATTTATATACAATATAGAAATATGAAATTTTAATTAAATAACAAATTTTTGAAATTTACTTTTATGGAACATATGTTTGACTCTCACTATTCTATAATTAAATTTTAAAATATAAAAATTCATTTTGCGATGAGGTTCGGTATGTTGATAATGTGATCATTCTACTATGCTCCAATAATATGTTTGATCAGCAAATTCATTATTTTAGGTGAAAAAATCTTTAAAAAAAAAAAATGTTGGTGCTTTGCATTTTCCCCATATATAGTAATTTTCATTATTTTGAGTTGGAGTAAGTCATATATTTCATATTGCTATACATGGGTTAATGTGAAGATTAAGAATTTTTATAAATTGATATAAATATGATAACTCATATGTTCATATAATTCTAACCGTAATTAGAGTAGAAATACCAATTAAATCACTTACGGTTGACCAAGTTATTTATTTTTTTTATTAGTACTTTTACATTTTTTAAATATAAAATTATTTAGAAATTGTTTTTTTTTTCACTCTCTATAATCCTTATTTTCAGTTTAAGAAAATATCTATCAATGACAAGTTCTTCTAATGAAAAGTACAGAAGAGAATTTGGACTTGAACTCATAATGGAATTTGATTAGGTTGATATTAACTGGGAAGATGATTGGAAGTGGAAGTCTAGTCATATTATATATGTTTGGTCAACTTAAATTATCCATTAACTCCAAATCCTCCAATGTAAATACACCAATCAAAGCAAAGTATGCTATAAATAGTAAAAGTAAACATGGTCGTGCGTTAAGGACAAATACAGATGCATGAATGGTTTACTTCATCCGTGGTCAATTAGTTACTGAGAATCGTCTTTTCCGTAACAATTGTTACATCTAGAATTTTAGGTTCTTTAAAAAGTTTATTAAATTTATCCTTTAAAAAAATTATTAAATTTATTTAAATTATTAAATAAATTAACTGTATTACTTTAATTTAATACTAATTTTTCCGAAAAAATCATTAAATTAAAATAATAATTATTACTTACATAAAAAAAGATAAACATAAAAAAAAAAAAAATTATTGCTCATTGAAACCATAAATTTGATAAGTATTTTAGACAAACTATTTTTTCAAATGTGACAAATATTATAGAACGAAGATAATATATTTTATGTGCTGATCATGTGAGCACACTAATAAAAATATAAAATTTTAAATATTAATTTTTTTTTGTAAATAGTCTGAAATATCCTAAATAAAAATCATTTTTCGTTGAATTAATCTATAATAGGCAAATCAATCCCATAATTTGATACCGTCTGGCTCACATCAAAAGCATTCATCATCGCACATGTTTTATCCCACGTCAAACAAGACCAAATAGTAAAAAATTGAAATAAAATTATAAAAATAGACAATTAATATTCAAATAAAGAAGCAGGAGAATATAATCCATTTACATCTGACCAACTCCCCAATCATACCTTCTTCTGGTGCACGTTCCCGTTAGAGTGGGGGCGGGAGGAATCTTCGCACCTGTTAATTTTTTGTCATATTTTTATTTTACTAGTTAAAAATCACTCTGTGGTCGAGCGAAAGAAACGTGGGCAATGCTCATAGTCGACAATATAGACGAAATAAAGCAAGCAAACAGGAATAAGCTTGGCTGCAAATGAAGCTCGATAAAAGGTATATTCCACTTTAATTCAATTTGAAAAATTAATTGGACTCTGTCTCAATTGTAATTTATAATTAAAAAAAATAATCCAATTTAAATTCAAAATCGATTATTTATTAAAAGAAATTGATAAGTAAATTCAAATTCATTTTATAAACTTAATAAATCAAATCTCGAACAGCTCGTGAACTATTTGGTTTGTGATCTAAATAATGAATTTTTAACTAAATTTATTTAATATCTTTAATTATCGTTCAGTTGTTAAAATGCGGAATCAAATTTTCATCTAACCATTATACATTTTAGATTAATTTGTATGGAAAAATATTTACCTATATTGGTATGGATAAACTGCAATGTACCAAGATAACAGTGAATCCCCATTTTGAAAAATTGCAATTACCTTTTATTACTTTATTCTTTTTATTTACAGTAAAAAGATGGTAATACTTTCGTTTACACCAAATAACTTTATTCCTTTACACCAAGTCAATATTTCATGGTCATATTTTTTCCTTTTATCCAAAAAAAAAAAAGAAAAAAAAATATAATAGATTTTGTGGTCATGAGATGCTAAGACACGTGGTGGTTGGTGCTAGTGTCTGTCTGTTTAAATGGTCTTGTTGTGGGCTAAACTGGCTCTGTCGTGGACCAACCCTATTTGATGCTTCTGCTTAGTTTTGTTATTCTCCAATCTCCATGGTCTATTGGGCCTACCTCTTGGGTTCACTTCAACGACTAAAAGCCCAAAGTATAAAGGACTCAGATCTGCATGAACACGATTCTTCAAAAAATTCCAAAAGGTACATCAGCAACATTCCCATAATCATTGCGTACACTGATCTGCTCTTGTCTTTGGTGAAATCACTAATACGTAACAAACAAAAAATGCTTATTTTAAATTGAGCATTAAAGCATCTAATAAATAAGAAAATAATTTAAAATAAGAATACACAATCTATCATTATTATTTCCAAATTTAAACAGTTGTGCGCACCTATGGAAATCTATGGTCCATCCACTATCCTATTGTTGCTGGTCTTTCTGTTCTCATTATTGGATTCGGCTCTTCAGTTCAGTTTGTCAAAGTTAAAACGTGTGGTCCTGGAGATTCGCTCTGTTACCGACAACACAAGCAATGGAGAACAAGCAGCTGCACAATAATGGCGCCGAACCAATTCCCGCGCCGAACCAGAAACTTTCCGTCCTTAACTGTATCGATCTCTCCAGTCCTGATATTGAACAAACCGTTTCTTTACTCAAACAGGTTGCTTCGAATTATTTTCAATTGCGATTAGTTGCTGTCACTCACTGGTAATTCATTTATTAATTGAGGTTTTTAGTTTTGGAATTTTTTCAGGCTTGTTTGGATAGTGGATTCTTTTACGTTGTAAATCACGGAATAAGCCAAGAATTTATGGATAAGGTTTTCTCGGAGAGTAAGAAGTTTTTCGAATTGCCAGTACGCGAAAAAATGAAAGTTATAAGGAACGAGAAGCATCGAGGCTATACTCCTGTTCTCGACGAAATTCTAGATCCTGATAACCAAGTACATGGTTCGTTCCTTATTTATCTGTTTATTTTATTTATTCATTATTATATTCTTTTTTTTTTTTATTTGAAATTGAAGCAATTATTATAATTATTGTTATTTTCCCCTGTTATATGATAGTAGGAGATTACAAGGAGGGATATTACATTGGAATTGAATTGCCCGAAGATGATCCTGAATCAGAGAAGCCATTTTATGGACCTAATGTTTGGCCAGCAGATGGTAATTGAACTTAATTACAGTGTAGAAGCTTATTTTGCCCTTTTCTTTTTGTGTATGTATCTTTTAGCTTTTGTTTAATTGTTTCGCTATGGTATGTTTTAGATCTCATTCCTGGTTGGAGGCAAACAATGGAGAAGTTTCATCAGGAGGCTTTGTGAGTTTTTGTAGACTTGATTGATATGATTTATAGAATTTATAAAGAATATTAACCTTCTTTATTTCATTACCTAAAGTTTTTGGTATTCGTGAAGGCAGGTAGCAAGAGCAGTTGCAAGGCTCATAGCACTTGCGCTTGATCTGGAAGCTGATTTTTTTGATAAGCCAGAAATGCTTGGCCAGCCTATTGCAATCGTGCGCTTGCTGCGATACGAAGGTTGATATTTAATTACAAGTCATGGAAATTTATTCTCTAGTCAATAAAACTAATTTGTTGTTCCTTTGTTTTCCTTTTCTTTTCTTTTGTGTTCAGCTCAGATTTCTGATCCCTCAAAGGGAATATTTGGTGCTGGAGCTCATTCTGACTATGGTTTGATTACCCTTTTAGCCACAGATGATGTCCTTGGCCTCCAAGTACTAACATTGGCATAAATTTATCTATAGATTAAACTTTTTGCCTTTTTCTCTTCCAATTATAGTTTTATTATTTTGTTGCAACCCTTGTAATCTTCTTGCAGATATGCAAGGATAAGGATGACGAACCTCAAGTTTGGGAATATGTAGCACCATTAAAAGGGTGAGGTGCATTGGACTGTTGGAGATTTCCTACTATACAGTTTATTTGATTGTCCTGATCCTACATATTTAAAGTTACATGATGTAGACTCTAATTTCTCTTCTGCATCTACCTGTTCAAGATGACTAGGTGATCACATGCCAATATTTTGTATCTTTTTGAATGGAGTCAATGTCTTATGTTTCATTCTGAGTATATAGTTTTGATCTGCCGGGATGGGATAACTCAAGCCATCATCAGATGATGTGAAAATCACATTCAGTGAATATTAATCTTTGGATTTTGCTACGTAGGGTTACATCGAATGTTGACTTGTTCAAGAATTAGTCTGTGAAAATCACAGCCTTCTCTGTCCAAAGAACTGAGGCAGGAATATGAACCCTGAAGATCCAATATTAAATACTATCAACTGTTTTTTGGGAGTGAACTTTAACTTTGGAAGTTAAAAACTTCAAATATCTAGCTACAGTTTAGTCATTATTCAACTTTGATATTTGTCAGTGTGCTGTGAAGTTGTATTGTGAGGAATCGATTCTAGGGCTGTATGAATGATATATAATCAAGGAAGAATCTTCATTCGGAATCAGTGACATTTTCTTGTTGGTTCGTCTTATACAGAGCATTCATAGTGAATCTTGGTGACATGCTGGAGCGTTGGAGTAACTGTGTTTTCAGGTTCTTATCCGTTAATTTCATGCCAGAATAATACATAAATGCTGTATTATAGAGGCTTTTCAACATATTTTGGCATTTGGGAAGAAGATAAATAATTTTTCTTAGTTATAAGGCCTGATAGTGTTGGACATACTCCAATGGGAATACCTTTTCTAATTCTAAAGTTATTCTCATACGCATCTTTTTCATCATTCAGTGAAAATAAACAAATTTTTTGTTGCCATCTTTACTAGTGTATTTGATTTTATACAGGTCTACACTGCACAGAGTCGTAGGGAATGGTCAAGAGAGATATTCAGTAAGTGCCTTTATGGTTTTCTTTTCCCTTTTTTATTTTCTATTATTGCAATTCCCTCTTATGCGATACCTGCATGAGACTATTTCTCTTACTCTCTCTGCATCTTTTTTTTTTTTTTTTTTTTCTTTCCATAATGTCAACTATTCTATGATGCACATCTCCTTGTGGAGTTGTGGTGTAAACAGAAACAGCCAGCTGTTCCATGTGTGCTTGGAAATTTTATATAGTCAGGTCTCTGTTATGTATAGTCATAATGGCTTAGAGTGTTGGTTATGCGCACTATGATTGATGGTGAGAAATAACAGAGTGTTTTTGTCTAGTTAAGTTTGAAAACCTTTATAAGTCTTAATTGTCCAGGAAAGCACTGATAGTTCCTTGGATTTTTTGCCTTTTCAGATGATTTTAACTTTTATAAATTAATTTGCCTAGCATGCTTTCTATTCCTTTGTGGTGAATATTATCTTGATAAAATTGTGTTTTCTTACTCGCTTCTTTTCATTATAGATAGCATTTTTTGTCGAACCTAGTCACGACTGTCTAGTCGAATGCTTGCCTACCTGCAAGTCAGAAAAAAATCCTCCCAAGTAAGTTGATACTATAACCCTTTGTTAGTCTGATTGAATATACCGCGTGTTCATTTCAGTTTTACAGCAACTATTGCAATGGAGTGATACATGTATTTGTTTCATCAGGTTTCCTCCGATCAAATGCGAGACTTACCTGAGTCAACGCTACAAGGATACCCATGCTGATTTGAATGTATATAACAAATCTCAAATTTAAGCGTGTCAAAGAATTAAGTCGAGGACCTCATAAATTATAGAGGTTACATTACCACTTAAATGTTGTAATTGTACTCGATATTAATTAATAGTATACGAACTCAGTTCCCTTAGATGTACTTATATTAGTAATTATTGATAGATTTATGGTTACTTTTCTCGAATTCTAGCCAAGGCCACCGCATTAAAGCACATGGAATTTCTCAAACAGCAACATAGATATGGAGAACAGAATCACCTTTTGAACGCAGCAGCTCAACCTGTCTCAAACATGAAACGACACCAACTGTTTGCATGCCCACACCCGCTACAAAACGCAGGTACTGACTCAGACCTATAGTTGATGGTTTTGGACTGCCATTACCATTAAATTATATTATATGGAACTTAAAAGAGACTGTGAATTATGTGAAATTTATTAGTTTCATAGATTTAAGAAGTACAACGGCTTTTGCAAAGAGATTCTGTCGTTTTTGCGTCGAATTGACGTTTTTTCCATGCGTTATAAAATGGCGGAAACTTCTCTCTCTTGTTAAACCACAAGAAAAAATTTCCCTGTCTTCCGCATATGAAAAGACTTCGCTTTGAACTGCATGTGATGGAACCTTTTTAAAGTTTGCTTTTTATAAGTAATGCCATTAGCCCTTTTCATTCTTCGTTTTCCTTCTCAAACAAATAGCAAAACAAACAGTGGGATAGCTTGATTAGGAACAGTAGTAAACTTAGTATTTGAATTTTTATTTTTTTACATTTTAGTATTTAATTTTACTTTTTATTAATTAAGTCTTTGCATTAATAAATTTCTAATAATTAAGTACATGTAACTGAAATTTATTAGCCAAATACCAAAATATATTATTTATTCCATTCCATCACTTCATTCATTTTTCTATATTCTTACCAGTTTTACCTATTTCAATTTTTTTTTCTCATTTTTAATGATTTTATTTTGAAATAAAAAGAAATTTATAAAACTTAATTTTATAAAAGAAAAATATAAAATAATAAAAATATTTTTACATTTTATATTAAGTACATATCGTGCATAATATCAATTTAAAATATGATTTTAAAGCTCTATTTGTTTCTGGAAAATAACTTACAAAAAAATATTTTTCACAATTTTCCGTTGTTTGAAACGTTTAGGAAAATAAGTCAAAAAATATTTTTCTCGTCAAAGAAAAATTAAGTCATTTTTTAAGAAAAATAAACTTTCCATTTTCAAAATAGAAACATTTTTCGGACATTAACAAATTTTATAAATTCATATTTTTTTAATTTATTAATCATCGTAATCACTATTACCAATCACCATTTACCATCGATCATCACTACCAGCCATAGGTAGCTTTCATAATTTATATATTATTTTTATTATTTTTATAATTTTAAATTTTAATTTAATTAAACAATGGAAAATAAATCATTTGAAAAAATATTATTTAAAGAAAATATTTTTTAGCAAGTTATTTTCCTCTAAATTATTTTACGGAAACAAGCAAAGTATAAGTTTCAATGAATTATTCTAACTTAATACACTTATAATTAAAGAAAATAGTCAGTTCAAAGTTCAACACTTAATTAATAAAATAAAAGGTACGCACTAAAAAGGAGGAGGTTAATAAAATTCAAACGGATATTACATAATTATTCCAATTGGTAACTCCTTGTAATCCTACAACATGCCTATGCACAAGTACATATTGATTATTCATATCAGAAAATCTCATAATCTTTAGAGCTACAACTTTTAGGCACACAATCAGGAACTCGTGGCTTCACATTAAAGTAAAGTAAAGCCCAAAATTACAAACACAAACCATATTCATTATTTAAATCAGAAAATCTTATTTTGCTCACTGCTGCTACACTTGCTGAGCCCATATCTTACACGGATAAAATCACAAAATTAGCGGTAGCTTCTATATACAGGACTGTACATGCAACTCTCAGCATATTTCACAAGGTTCTCCGGACGAGGTAGACGTGTAGCCAACCCTAAAAGAAGGATAAGAACAAGACTAAGCATTCCAAAATTGCCAAGTCGATAATAGATTACAACAAGAGCCACACTTACCAAGTTCATATGCCTTTGCGGCTACATTAGCAGCAATATGTGCTGAAATTTTTCTGATGTTAGAGAAAGGTGGGTAAATCAGCCCCTTACTATAGTTCTCTTCCGTAACTTGGCCAGCCAACGCTTCCGCTGTCAAAAGATGCACACAACATAAATTTAGAAGTTAATTTCATGTCTAAGATTAAAATCTAAACAATAGCAACTGGCAAAAAAATCCACAAAAATAGATAATATAAAATTGATTATCTTAGTTTTCTTGGTTCCTTTGAAGGGGGAAGGAAGATTAATTATTATACTTACATGCTGCCAGAAGCATTTCATCATGAACACGAATTGCTCCAGAGATAACCAAACCCAAACCAAATCCAGGGAAAATATATGCATTGTTGGCCTGAATTGACAAGTACAACCCTCAAACCTTAGTCACTGATATATTCAACCTAAACACGAAACAGTGAAGAGAAATATATAGTACCTGGCCAGGAGCAAAAATTTTGCCCTCATATTCAACAGGATCAAATGGACTTCCACTAGCAAAAATTGCTTTTCCCTTCAATGTGAAATAAAGAAAAGAGAGCAAATTTAGAGGCAGCTTTACTTTTAAAGGAGAACTACCAAAACTTAAGACAGTAGATCACTTGCAGATTTCCTTCCTCATCTGAGTCATGAAGTATGTAAGAAGACAAAAAAAAGTCTTACTTTACTCCAAGTATAAGCTTCTTCAGCTGTACATTCTGATTGTGAGGTTGGGTTGGAGAGAGCCATGATTACAGGTTTCTGCATGCCAACCACACGAGTGAGTCATCTTTTGTCTAGTAGTTACAGGGTCATCCATTGTATATGTTCAAGCCAATTCCACCAGATATACACACATTTTGAGAGAGAGAAGAAAGTGAGAACCTCATTTAAGGAAGCCATGGCTTCAACCACTTCCTTTGTAAATGTTCTTCCTACTCCAGACGATCCAATTAAAACTGTTGGTTTGATTGCCTGAGGAAGGAAGTAAATGCAATGAGGGACTAAAGAACACTATTAAAGCAGTTGCATATCAAAAACACATTCACACCTTGACTGCATCTAAGAGATTCTTCACAGGTTCATGCTCGTGAGCCCAGGGTTTCTTGAAGTGTTGAAGTGAATCCTTACGAGAGCTAACAATCAACCCCTGAAAGAAAAATGATGCATGATTTTAAGACAAAAGAACCTAAGAAATTATACAGTTTCCAACAAAAGGTAGTTTGTTTGCGAGAAAGCTTAATTGAGATTTCCACTTCAGTACTTACCTTTGAATCCACCAACCAAATCTTCTTGCGAGTCTCTTCCAAAGGAGCATTAGCCTAAGAAGGAGAAATGAATTAGACAAGTGAACTCATAAAATTAAAGCATTAGTTCATGCCTAACATCATTCCAAATCCATGTTACGCAATAATAAATCAAAAAGGATATGCATATGATGGTAGTAAATACCCGTTTTGACATCTCATGAGCAATAAGCTCTGCTATACCAGTTCCAGCCTGCAAAATAATAAAGTTAATTGCATCACAAAAAAAAAAAAAAATTATATAAGGTAGGTATGGACGTAATCTTTCAAATGCTAATCAAATCATCAAATAATAAAATTGTGAATCACGTTATAATTGAAATTGCAGTTAAAAGGAAAATAAATTATTTTGAAACATTAACCAAAGAATATCACTGCATTTTCAAAACATTCCAAAATCAAATTGAATCCGCTCATTCTCTATTCTTTGTATACAACTAAAGCCTACAAAAGACAAATATGAGATGTCAAATCTTACTTCCCCAGCACCAAGGAATAAGAAAGTATGATCAGCCAGAGAACCACCAAGCAACTTCAGTGCTGCAATAACCCCTGCAAGAACAACAGATGCTGTCCCCTGTAACAGATGGACAATCAATATATCAGTTATGAATACCAAGTTAAATCAAATAATGGCTCAAGATTGGGCTATCTCATACCTGTATATCATCGTTGAAGACCAGATGAGTTGTACCATATTTTGCAAGCAGCTCGAAAGCATTGTGGTTAGCAAAATCCTCAAACTGCAAAATATGGCAAGAAAGGAGTAGACAATGGAAAAATGTATAAGGATCTTCAAACCTTGGATAGCTTATTATCAAACCATTTACTCTTAAACTTGTAGCTCACCTGTATAAGGACTTTTTCTCCATAGTTTTGCTTTACAGCAGTCATGAACTCATGTAGAAGTTCAGAGTATTCCTGAAAATAAAATTATGGGAAAAAAAGAATTACGAATCTGCAAATAACAATCAGCTAGCTTATGAAGCTGCAACTGTGTGAAACCTGGCCTGTTGCCCTTCTCTGTCTGAGTCCAATATAGAATTCATCCTTCAGCAATTGCTCATTGTTCGTTCCCACATCAATGGTGATAGGCAAACACTAAAAGGCAACCAAGAAATATTCTTAATCAGACAGGATAAGGATGTGATGGATCACAATCAGAATATTAAGAAGTTAAAAACTCTGTTATTCAACAGAGCTGTGCAACATTATTATAATAGGAAGTATTCTAGGCAAGGAGAAATTACAGATGTAATCAAAGAGGCACAATCTGAAAGGATGTACTACCATCAAGAAGCAATTAGAATTAACCAAGGAGAATAATGTTTAATTGTCATAAAAGAAAGCAATCTTTCTATTCTTTGGCTTTATTGCAGGGGCAAAAGATTAAATCTTGAATGATATCGAAATGCTTACGGCAGAAGGGCGAACTCCTCCAAGAGCAGTGTAGAGAGCCAATTTTCCCACAGGAATACCCATCCCCTGTAACATTTTTCAAAATTGTAATACAAATGCTAGCGCAATTTTATAGTCTAATTACTATCTAATATGTTTATCGAAAAAAAAAAAAAAACTTTATCTTTGTCTATAATGTGTTTACCTGACAGCCAAGGTCCCCAAGTCCCAGAATCCGCTCACCATCTGTCACAACAATAACTTGAATACTTCTTTCAGGCCAGTTTTTCAGCACATCAAGAATTTTCCCCCTGCAAAGCCAGATAACTAGCAACAATAAATAAAAGCTCAAAATTGCATATGGGTCAGAGAATCAAAGCAAAAAGAAAACATTCATACTTCTCCTTCAAACTAATGTATAGCCCCTGAGGGCGCTTGAAGATACTTCCATACTTCTGGCAAGCTTCGCCTACTGTTGGAGTGTATACGATGGGAAGCAACTCTTCAACATTATCAATGAGAAGCTTGTAGAACAGTCTTTCATTTCTCTCCTGCAACCCGATAAAATTTAAATAACTAATAAATTATTCCCATGTTTTTGAAGAGGAAAAAAAATATTACAAATAAGGTACCTCAAGTTCCATCATGGCCATATATTTTTGAAGAGGAAGTTGATATTGTCTTATAGTGTGCATCAACTTCTTCTCCTGAAGCTGTTGGGTTGCAACCACTGGTGGTAAAAGGCCAAGCAAGTAATGGGCATCCCTCTCTTTCTCAGTAAATGCAAGTCCTTTGTTATGGCGTGGATCCCTCAACAGCGAGTACCCACTGCATGCACCCACATAAATATCTAAACTCACTACATAATTGTCCTCATTTGAGTATATTGTAGAAAGAGATCAAGAGTATAAAAGTTGAGCAGAGAAACAGTAATCAAGTAGAAATAACTCTAGTTAAAGAAAATAATTCATAAAAAAAATTAGAAACTAATTGAATATATAATAGGACAAAAACAAGCAGCAGAGTCGATCGGAATTTGAATCGAGTTTCTTATCAGAAAAACAGAGTAATTTTCATAATTATAAATTATTACAAATAATAATAATAATAATGAAAAAAGAAATCCTGATCAGTCAAAAAAATATAATATCTTCTAAGAAGAAATTTTAGAGCGTCAACCTGCCAAGCAAAGCAAGTGATAGATAGTAAGTAGTAACCTGGCGACTGATATAGTCCATGGAGTAACTAGTTGATCCTCGGTAGCGTGATCCTCGCCGTAAACGTCCTCAACGCCACCACCGACGGTGGACTTAGGCTCGAGCACCGATGCTCCACCTCTTATCTCCTTCAATGTACTCTCCATTTTACTTGACAGCTGACTTTCTCTCCCTAACCAAACGCACTCGTTGGATCTCAAAAACAAAAGATGAAGAGGTGGTAGAAAGAAATGGTTTCAAACAGTAATGGTAGCTTGAAGGTTCTCTGCTCTGATTTTATAACAAAATTAGATCATACTCATAGTAGAAAAGTCCACTAAGAATTATTAAAATAAAGGAAAATATCTATCGTCGTTTTCAGTATTTCTATTATTATGAGATGAGAAGTGCTGGTGAACAGGAGATTATTTTACGGTATTGTGTGTGTCCTGATCGGCGGTGTAGCCATGGAGGGAAAGTGGAAAGAGAGAGAAAGGACTTTAACAATTTTCTTTCTTTAATTAGGTCAACAATGCGGACTTTAATTTAATGGCGACGTTGATGGATAATGTTTTGGATTTTATTAAACTGTAGATGAATCGCACTTGTCTGGCCTACACTTTCTTACGGTGTCTATTTATGCAAGCGCCAGCTCAACCAATCTGAAGCCCTTGCCACCATTTTTCTTGATGTGGGTTAGTACGATGGTTTTTATTTCTATTTCTATTTTTATATTGTGCAAACCAAACCATTCCGAGCTTTTTATTGAATTTGAATCAATTACAAAATCAACTGAATATCTAAATAAATTTAATTTGTACAATTTAGAAACAACTTCTGAATATTACTGTCGATGCGAGGCAAAAAAAAAAAATTTAATTGTACAATTTAAGAAACAACTTCTGAATATTACTGTCGATGCGAGGCAAAAAAAAAAAAAAAAAAAAAAAAATATATATATATATATATATATATATAATATTATAAAGGCAGAATTAAAGAAAAAAAAAAAAAAGAGGAATCGGTTTATTAAAGGATATACTACCTATTGCTTTCATCTGAGAATAATTGTAAAGGATACAGAATTCAATACGTTTTTCACTTTATTGTGCTTTCCTTTGCTGGAACAGTGGGAGGTATCAATTAATTACACTACATAACTTTGCAAAAGAATTCTTAGTAAAAAGAGGAAATCGGTTTATTAAAGGATATACTCCTATTGCTTTCATTGAGAATATTGTAAAGGATACAGATTCAATACGTTTCACTTTATTGTGCTTTCCTTTGCTGGAACAGTGGGAGGTATCAATTATTACACTACTAAACTTTGCAAAAGAATTCTTAGTGGAAGAATTAATTATGAAAAACAGAGTTGAATTATTAAAAATAAAAAAGGAGAATATACTAATATTTTATTGTTGATGACTGATTCTGATAATTGAAGTACTCCTACAGTCAACTTAAGTCAGTTTAATTAATTGTATATATATAATAATATATACAATCAACTTGCACGTTCAGACACTACCTCTTAGAAACCAACTTGAAACATTTCAAAATTATCAATTATCTAGTTATGTATATTCTTTGTTCCGTATTTGGACCAAACCTAATCCTCACTATCCATTCTAATCACTGTTTAATACGTGGATGATACCCATAATGACCATCAATAATTCAATAAGAGCCAGCAAACATGACATTGTTCATATTCTCCCTGTACCTACTTAGACCCTTGACCTATTTTGGGACGCCCGTGCTTACTTCTAGCAGTCCTAAAACATTTAACTAATGCTAATGAGACCATAACCATGGGCTTCACTATAGATATACATTGCACATTATACATCCATTACTTAATTTAACCTATAAGCACTACATTATAATATATACCACCATTCTTTAAACTATATAATATCCTATAATAACTCCTTCAGAGCAGACGGCGTCGTGTATATCATCATTGTCTTTTCACAGTTGGCCTGTTTCCTTGAGTACAGTTTGCAAAGGGCCTGCCCTGCTACCTTCCAAGCGAACCCACAATAGCCAGCAGGAGGCTTTTTTTCCGCAGCAGCTCCAGGCCTTTTTTCAGCTTGTTTGGTTATGGCATGGTTATAACAAACCTCATAAATAGCAAGAGCCTCTTCAAATATGTCATCCTCCTTCCTCTTGCTCTCCTCAAATTCTGCAGCTTCATATAATATCTGTCCCAAGGACCAGCGAGTTAAGATAAGGCATAAATAAGGAAACCTAATATAATTTTAACTGGGAAACATCAAAACCATATATGAAGAAATCGTGTTAAAAGTTACCTCCTTATATTTTTTGTAGACTTCCTTAGCAGTCTTATCTTTGGTCTCTTTGTTCTTTAGAGCAATTGTCATCTCTTGCCTGTACTGATTATGAAGCGTCTTCCATTTCTCCAGGCATGGCTCTGAGACTCTGTCGTTGAAAGAAGGGAGTTTCCAAACTTCTACAACATATTAAAAGTAGTCATTGCTTAAATTTTGAATACACGAATGCAATAATATGTAAATACCAGGAGTAATTTGATATTCCCACGATGTTAAGAAGTTAAAAATTCTGATAGAGAGATTTCTTACCAATTTCTGGTGGATCTGCTTCTTCAAATGATTTGACCTTGTCATAAATTAATCCCAGAATTGATGTAGATGTGTAAGAAATCTCTTTTTCCCTTTCCATATGATGTGGGAACAACTCTGCCTTCAATTCTTCTGGGATAAAAATCTGTGTAAAACAGGTTATGTTAACAGCAGACAAACTATAAATCTATAATTGCACGTACTCTCTGGTTCAACCAAAGCTCATGAACAGTGTAAGCCTCAATGAAATATTATTTGATCGAGTATTTTCAGACAAGGATATCTATGCACAGGTCCAAATTCAAACTTGGCTGCATTAGAGCTTAGGAAAAGTAAATCGACAATCTCAGAACATATTTTACATGTATATAAAGTCAAGAAAAGGGAAAAACTAACCTTTTTTCCACCTTTCTTTGGTGCATCTAGAGCATCATAATATTTATCAATTAACTCAACCATATTCCTCTTCATGTGGTCTCTTTCATCACTTCTATCATCTTCCAATGTTAGATACCTATCCATTAATGCTGACCAACTATCAGCTGCCACACCCGCAGCATGGCTGAGAACAGCAAAAATAATTAAATTATATCATTACGGATTCCAAGAAAAATAGGCCACAACATACTCATAAGAAATAGAAAATAAAAATGCACTGAGTCAAAAAACATAAGTGTTTATTCCACCTGCTACCAAGCATGCAACAAATTTGGAGAAAAATTTAGAGACAACTGCCTTGACAGGATGATTCTATACGTTATTAAAACCAAAATACACTTCCAATATGTTGTTGAAAGATAATTAGGTCTATCAGCACAAAGCCAAATGCAGTAAGCATAAGTCATAAATATGCAAGCAACAGGACATTATACATGGAATCAGTCAAGTGCATACTTTGGCTGGAATCTAGCTGTCAAAAATAATTTGAATAGCTCATCCTCCAGCTCCATCTCAGAAAATTTACATGGTTGCTTGTTAGGCATATCATCAGTTGAAGACAGGGGTATGAAAGGTTGACTTTGTTTGAATTTCTCCAACAGCTGAAATGATAAAGAAAAAAAAAAAAAAAATTTGATATAGGTGCTTAGCTTGCTCAATTAGGGACAACCTAGAATTAAAATAAACTGGAACTTTCAGGATCATGCAATGCATTTCTTCACTAATTTCTAATAGAAAGACATCAACAAGCAAACATAAGCAGGTGGCATGCAAGTGGATAACACACACGAAGTAACATTATTTGAAAAAACAATGAATTGAATATATGGCAAGCCACAGATGACTCCATTTTTTTCCTTGCTCCCAAAAATTAGAGATAAGAAAAGGCATGAATTGTCTCAGCTCTCAACCAGCAGGATAAAAGGTAAATACTGTAGTAAGCAACCAATAGCATATGGAAATGCTTTCAACAGAAATATAATATTTTGCTAAAGATTAGTCTAGATACGTATGGTGTATGATTAGCAGAAAATCAGATAAGATTACAGTCAATTCTAGAAGCTTTTACCAAGATATGGTAGAACTTACAGCTAGCCTTTAAGTTAGGGGAGAAACCTGTGTATTAGGTGAAAACTAGTTTCGTTTTATATCTCTATATATTTGAAAGATTTGTATATAACAAGATTTGCATCCACATGTTTATTGGTGTAATATACGTTTCAGTGTTCTTCATCTTTCAATCCTAGGTACTGAAAGAGATTTGTGGTGCAAGATTAGCAGTGATTTTGTTATTGAATAGATAAAACCTCTAATTCACCTCTCTCCCACAGGACATTTCTGCAGCCCATACAACCAATGATATTCAATATGAGCTAACCTCAAACTCTTATCTGCAGAGCTTAAGCACAGCTATTTTTTCTTTTTCTTTTTATTTGGGTCAAGAAAAGTCCTCTATGTAACATGTGCATAAAGATCATGCTCACGGCTCAGAATGGGTATTTCACTTTCAAAATCTTCAACAGATATGATACTTTGACATATAAATTTGAAACATTCTTCAAATAAAAAACATACTAAACATTAATTGCAAAAAAAAACAAAAAGAAAGGAAAATTGCGGCCTAGGAAAATAAATACTGACCTCAGGATTTCTTGATACAAAGTATGTGTCACCATCAAAGTCACCTCCTGCCATCTCATCTGCTAATGACCGAGGTCCTCTACAAGGGAAGAATATACCATACTTTGCATTTCCTACAAAATCTTCCAAATCCTTCACATATGTTGCATTTAGAATATGTACATCTCCAAAATGCAGACCAGGATTTCGATACACTAACACTTTCCCCGAAATCTGACCATTATCTCTGTATATTTCATATAGAGCACTTATAAAGATATGGACAAAGGGAAGACATTGTTCCCATTTAACTATATATATTTCAATTTGAAAATAGCAACCTCAAATGTTGGAGAGAGACTTTTTTCTGGTTGGGTGGGTGGACAGATGGGGATTAATAATATGCCAATAAATTATGAGAAATGACACTAGATGAAAGCTCACATTTGCCAGATGCATAACAATGACTCTGGTATTGTGTTGCTCACATTTTTTCTACTTTACTTTCCTGAGGAATCCATAGAGGTCTAGAGCTAATTAATAGTCAGAGAAAATTATAGAGAAGTGAGAATTCATCAATGTGTGCACATGTTCCATCTATCAATGGATTAAAGCCCTATAAGTGAGGTTGGTCATTTTTGCAGCTTTTTCTTCAGTCTATTTATTGATCTGTCTTTCTCTCAACATCTTAACCAATCATTTGCCAATATATAGCAAAACCCCTTTGTTCAGTATCACGAAACCATATTTTGAGCTGCTGACCAGCGTAGTATATTATATTTTGCACATTTTAATCCTGAAATATCTCCAACTCGAACATTGATCAGAACAATATAGGATATTTTAGTCAAAAACATTTTCTAAGCAAAAAATAATACCAAGAATCTAAGGTTAATGATTCAGGTTCAACACCTAACCGCTGTCTTTTTCTATAGAGATTCAATTTGAACTGGTGCCACAAACAAGTGATGGTAAAAGCACTCAATTTAAATTTAGTATCATGCGAAAGATCACTTCCACTAACAAAATTACACGCTGAACATAACAAAAGAAGGGAAATTTTCCAAAAACTTACAATATTACGCAAACTTCATCACTCTCTAGACGCCCAGTGGGATCAGCTGTTCCCATTAAATAATATGATTCAGGGATGGGTATACGTCCCCCTCTAAGGTTTTTCTTCTCTTCCTTCATCAATATGCGCAGGTGATGTTGGACAAATGGTTCTTCCAAAGGAATCCCCGAAAGAAGCATTTTTGCCAAAGTGTAATCATCCATCTCACCGTTGACAATGGTCACTAAGTGTAAAGCAAAACCATTTTGGAAACACCAATAAATTGAAAGCAATGAAGGGGAAGCACATCTTTCTTTTTCTTTGTTTTTTAGAATAAAAAGAAAGCATAATTAAATAGATAGATAAAATAGATAATTAAACAAGATGGTAGACTTTTGAACCACCTCATGAGATTATTGAAAAGCAAACCTCTCTTATGATGATGTAAAAAAACAAAGCCTAAAAGAGTTGTGTAACAAAAGATATGGACAGATTATCAGGAAAATACCTCGTAAGGCTGCATGCTTCTTTGTGAGGGCACCTTGTGTGTCTTCCAAAGCATTCTTCAACAAATCCATAAAAAACTCTTCTGGAACCCCACCAGCGCGAAGAAGTGGAATTAGATACCTCGACAGATATGCTCTCTTTGGCCGATTGCTAGAAAATGCACAAGCAGAAAAGTCATAAACCATAGAAAATATTAGGAAACAAATAGATCTTCAAATTTCTCCTTACAGGTTCTGTCAATCAGAATTTTACAACCAAATTCATCATGGGGAAGCCAGTCAAATACCTTAATACTTCCACGAAATCCTGATTTTTCGGAAGTTTCCTTCTCAAATTTACTCACAAAAGAATCATGTGAATATTTTATTTTACCATAATAAGAGTACTTCATTTGTTCAGTTATAGCATAGAAAGCATTTTGTGCATTTACAAGGGCACAATTAACTAAGGGGTTTAAAGGATACTATATCTACTTTTAAAGTAACAGCAGAGAACATACGACATTGAAGAAGCACAAAAATAAATGCAAAGGTAAGATCTACCTTGTTGAAACAATCTCCAGTGAATTCTGGGAGCAAGCTTTGGGCTCTGCATCAGGATCAACTTTGGTCATTGAAGGTCGAACTTGGATGGTTCCAGAGGGAAGCTGCATAAGGTGGAAACCGGAATCCACATAGGTAGAAGTATTAGAAACACATAAGATGAAGAAAGAAACAAGTAATCTGGGGACCTTATTAGAAGCTTTGTGAAGTCTGTTTATGATAAATTTTTATGCATATTAACAAAATAAAGAGAGAACAAAAAAATTAGAAAATGAAAAGGACAGATTAATGTTAGAGTTGAACCCTATAAAGAATGTGAAAAAACGATGAGCAAAACAACTATCAAATCATATTGGCTGTAGCTTGATTTATCATCTACTTAATATTCATGTTATTATTTGTAAGGCATGACGTTTAAGCTAACATTGATGTCAAATATTTTATAACATATTATGGATGAAACCTTTTCCAATAGATTTCTTTTATCATAGTTTATATCACAGATATTTTAAGCAATACTTCCTTTTTTTTTGTTTTTTTCTGAAATCACGAAGCCATACTTCACAAAGTCATGTTAGCATCTAAATTGCAAATCCACATGAGAGATTATGGAGAAAAACAGTGGTACTGAAATGAGATTAGATCAAAACAATTACTAGCTTCAAAATAGTAAGCCCAGAACAACACCAAACTCAACCCACAAAAACAAGAGAACCTTAGCAAAAAGGCATAGTTGCATGATATTCAAGTCATCCAAAATGTTTGTAATGTTTGCCTAGCCTATGCTATTTTATCACAACAATAATCCAAGCATAAGTACAGACTAACTAAAATGGTAAATGAAATGGCTCTGTGAATTGATCCTGGCTGCCATTGTATTTGCTCAACCATTTCCATATATTTGCTACTTTTATCAATCTTAATCAAAAATTAAAATATAAAAGATAAATTATCTTTTAGAAAAAGGAGAAATTAAAAATGCTGATTTACTTCCAAGTTAAAGGGACCGACAATCTGTAAACTGCCAGTGTCTCAATATGATCTAAAGGTAGAATACAAAAAGCAACAACACAATGACAGTTAGGACCTAAGAATTTCAAAAACCTCTAGAATGGAAAATGGCAAATGGCAAAGATCTACCTTCTTATTAACAAGGAAAGTTCCTTTGTAAGCACCACCATTGTTGAACATGCGAAACTGAATAAGCAAGGGCTTAAAAGAGAAAAAATCAAAAAAATAAAAGAGGAAAGATAAGTGCCACTAAGTCCAACTAATTAAGGACCTAAAAGAAGCACGAAAAAGCTTTCAGATCTACCAATTCTCCATTACGAGGTTCTGGAATTTTTGTTTCTGGAAGTTTCCTGGATTCAATGCAATCAAGTAACCCCTGAAAACGTTGAAACACAAGTGATCAGAGGATAAGTTGCATTACTTGCCAGTGCCACAATACAACAATAACAACCACTAAACCTTAATCCAAACTAGTTGGGGTCAGCTAGAATAAAAGCACAATAAAAAAAAAAAACATTCAAGCCATAGACTTGAACTGATTAAAAGAAAATTAAAAAATCCAGTTTTAAATCAAGGAAAACAATAGAGGTGCAATACAACTATAGGAGCTTACACATACGAATGTGAGAATGACCGAGCACTTGCACATTTGTTATATTAGCACAACATGAACAAACATGTTAAGAAATAAATCAGCAAAGAATCTTTCCACTACCTAACTGTTACATAGAAGGAGAAACAAGCAGATTTAATGTACTAAAGGTTAAGGAGTGTAATATGACAGCTGCACTTCCCACCTCTGCAACACAATAAACATTGCTTGACAATGCAGTTCAAACTATGTGTTGCATACACAGCTACTAGGACAGAATAACCAAAAAAAAAAAAATCCTCTTTCAAGAGGGGGAAAAAACTTCTATAAGAAATAGTATGAGAGAATGTAAACAAGAAACATATTTATTTCCTCTATGCATATTAGAAATGATATGCAGATCAAAGAGGGAACATTCTCAAGCTTTTAAGTGGTGCATCAAGCATAAATTCATAGACGTAAACATTAAACCTAATGGTGTCTGAGCGTCAGAAATTTCATTGATTATAAAATAAATGTTCAGAAATATTTTCTTAGCATTACCTTACATTTTAAGCTAGGAGTAATTGAAAATCAAGCCCAACAACCACAAACCTCTATGTTGCTAGCATTATTGGATTTGCCTTTGAATACATTCTTTGGGCATTTACTAGCCAAGTCCTCTGATATAAACCCAGTCCCATCAGTATGGATGCGAGGTTTTCCATCTTTATCTTCAAGAACATTACCATTATTATCCTGAAAAAGCCAAAAAAGACCAAATGTTAAGATTGGAATCAAGTAGATAAAGCAAATTATGATTGGTAGCTCAATTCAATGGAAGCAATATTGAAGAATTTTAAACCATACCCGGCACTGTATATCATCAATTTTTTCAATATTTACGCCTGATAAATCAACATCTAGCTTCAGCGTCTTTGACAAAACGAGACTTAGTCTGCATTTTTAAAAACAAAAAAAAAAAAAAAAAAAAAAAAAAAAAAAAAAAAAAAAAAATGACAAAAAGAAAAAAAAAAAAAAAAAAAAAAAAAAAAAAAAAAAAAAAAAAAAAAAAAAATTTTGCTTTCAGATTATTAATAAAACATATCTAAACATGGTTCATGGGCAAGGGAGATAGAGATCTTCATATGACCAACCTAGCCATATATTTGGACAAACTGGGCAGCAATTTGTTTACATTCATGAACATAGATCTAGCTTCTCCAATTGTTTTCCCATGTAAAATATAATCTGGACTGTCGCTAGATGCATTAGACTCTGTCCGAACAAAAAAGCACTTCACAGGTGAAGTAGTTGGATCTTTCTTCTTTGCTTCTTTGCCTCCATCCTTGAACACTGGTCAGCAAACATATAGTTACCAAAGAAAAATTGGCGGAAAAAATTTAACATTAAAAATCACATGAAAGGGTCAGGTACAGCCTGCTACGGTAGCCCAACAAAATAATAAATAAGAAAATGTAATTATTGGCTCTTTATTTGGTAAATTTAAGTTTAAAAAATGAACAGATGATTTTAAATAAAATCCAGTTGCGCCTGAATTTTTTTTATTCTTTTTGTTGGGAGGTAGGGGCATAGGGACAGACTCAGAGATATTATAAAGCATGCATTTTAGCCTTGCAGTCAAATCAGATTTCCTAAACCAAAATGTGTTCATTTTTGTTGTTGAAAAAGGAGGTTCATCAATGAGAGGTACACATAGTATACAGCCTTCAAATACATGCCATTAATACATGTTGAGACTTCAAAAACAAACAAATGATTTCAAAGCTAGACTAGCAGTTTGATAATAGAAAGAGCGTTAGGATCCACAATTATTAAATGATAACAAGGCTATAGGCTCACCGAAAAAGCGGTAACGACGCAAACCAACAAGAACCCCTTCTATAGCTAATTTCTTGTAATTAGCATAGTAATGAACCGAGCTACTTGCTGAACTTCTCTCTTCAGTTTCCTCTTCTGCAAACTTGACCATCAAGACATTATCATCTCCTAATGCCCTTTGAAGGAAATTGCTCAATGTGGTAAGATGGGGACCCTGAAATAAACTTAATGAATGTTTATGTATATATAGATTGATAATGCAAGCTTACATCCTAATAGAGATAAAAGCATTCAGACACTAAGCAATGGAGAGTAAAGGTCCTGAAGCTTCCTTAAAAACTGTGCCATAAGTTCAGAATAATGATTTTTGATTGCAAGATTAAAATATACAGGAGGAACTACTATGTGGTAAAAATGACAATTAGAACACAACTTTCATTCGGGCCTGACCAGTCTTTTGAACTGCAATTGAGGTGAATTCTACGAGAATTATTATGTTTAAAACCAAATGTAGCCTCTCAAAACCAGAGACTCTACATGTTAATGAACATGCACATATAAAACATCTGCATTGTGCAAATGGCTGAAGAAAATACAAACCTTGAACCTGTAAGTTCCATCTGCATAAACATGGCAGTGGTATATGTGCGTTATGCCGCAATCCCAAACAAAATACTGCAATACAGAAGCCCAAAAGAACAAAACAAACGCAGATATCAATAACAATTGCATATTGTATGTTTCAGAAATCAAAATCAAATTCTGATCTTATTTCTTTAAAAGCATAGCTAAGATCCAAGCAACAAAAATCTCCAAGGTCACTGCCATAATTTTAAAAATTTCATAATTTTAAAAATTTCAGACAACAATTAAGATTATTTGATTCCAAAGATTTCTAGAGATATGAACTCAACGTACATAACATTGGGATACCCATAACAAACATCGAAATACATTCAAGAAATGATACATAAAACGAAAATATTATCCATAAAAATAATACCCTCGGGCGTTCGTTGTCTTTGACATAGCCACATTTAAAGCCTATGGAGTTCCAAACTTCAATTTCAAATTTGTCCATCGGCAAATCTTTTATCCCACGAATCTTCTCCGCAGATATCACATTCTCCAGTTTATAACTGTTGTTTTGAATAACAAAAATTAAAAGGAAAAAAGGGCAATAACATATAAGCCCACATGCAGCAACTGCAAGAATCAATGTAGCCAACAGAACGTACCCGCCCATATAACTTAATATAAGAAATGCTTTTCTAAATTCGAGCTCGCCCAAGGCCTCCAACTGTGGGCTAATTACCGCTGCACTCGAACTCGCAGAACTGAATCTACTTTCCAAATGCACTGGAGATTGAAAAACAGATTCACCTATAATCAACAGAAATAAGGATCCATCCATATGCACACTACAAAAAATAATGAACTACAAAGAAAAATGGAGGGGGAGTACAACGAGCGGGCATCATTAGTCGAGTAGTTGTGGGACTGCGACTCGACTGCTGCGGCGACTGTGGGGACAAACAAAGGCGTTTACCAGGAGAACCATTATTGGTTGCCCACTTTTTAACCAAATAAAAAACAAAGCCGTCGAAAGTTTTTTTAATCTCGGTGGAAGAAATCGTACGGAGTATTTCCAGAGCCTCGTCTTCTCCAATTGAAGCTAGCTCCCGCCGCGCTTGATTTCCAAGACGCGGTTGTTGCTGCTTCGTGCAGATTTCAGCAATAAGTTGCTCCACAGAAGGAGGCAGCTGCACTGAAAAAGTATCGGCCATGGGGGAAGATGAGTTATAGTTAAGAGCTATTTGACATGCAAGGAAGAGAGTGGGGTTATTCTGGTTTTTAAAATTTTGGACGACGAGGATTGAAGGCGGAAAGAACGCCGTAGTCTTGCTGTTTTGGTTCTTTCTAGCTTCTTTGCGTTTCCACCGATGTTTTTTCCCGCTCTTCTACAGGAGGCTAGTGTAGTGGCTAATCATGATTCTACTGGCTATACGCTTTCAAATAAATAAAAACAAAAAAATAAATAAATTAGACAGCTCCGGACACAGAGAAAGTACACGTGGTATTCAACAAAAATGACAAATTTATTTTCTATGAAGTTTAAAAGGCTTCCATCTCAGTGTTCTCGAACCAGAGCTTGCATTTGCATGCACCGCAAGGTCGTTATAGCTTGTTTTTTTTCTTTCTCACATTATGGCGTAAAATGAGATATAAATAAACTGCTGTTTGATGTTATGACGAAAACACCCTTTCCTCTCATGCTAAGGAAGTAAGATAGTACTTCAATAATAGCAAAAAGCCTTGGGCTTGATAATTTTCATGTACATACACAGTGGAAAGTTGCATACTGCCACGTCAATCAAATCAAAAGTTCATTCTTATCTTGAATTTAAATAGCTTAGCCTGCATAATCTTACAACGCTGGACTGGACTCATCTTCTGATGCTGTTTCTGCTGATTTGATTTCCATGTTTTGAAATAAAAAATTTTACGTGCTTGAAAAAAAATGGAAACCAAATCAGCAGAAACAGCATCAGAAGATGAGTCGAGACTGATAAACTATGCTAGTTTTGAAAAAAATGGAAATTCAGATTTTTCAAAATGAAATTAATTCTAATTTTGAAGTATAAACCTTTTGTGTGTGGTGGAATTGATAATTGTACTGGTACATGAAGAGACTAAAGCGCCGAGTTACTAATGTAAGAAAATGCCAAGAAAGTTGTCGCTCTTCCTCGGAAAAGGAACTCCACTAATAAAAATAGCTGTCGTAGCTTTTGATCCTTTTTTGTAAGAGTAAAGAGAAGACCACGACATGACCATTCACTCTGAACAACTTCATCTGTAAGTAATGGATCACATATCTTTTTTATTTTTTTTTTAAATAAACAACAATATTATCCATGAGTTATATATAAATACAATAGTTCTATTATTCCACATTCTACGATTCTGCTATCAAGCGGACATACCATTTAAAGCCATGAAGTGCCATGTATTTCTGATTTCCCATATGCGAACTCTTGGATAAAAGAAAAAAAAGAGGAATTTACCATTTAAATCTTAAGGGTAAGAAGAAAACCCAATGGAAAAAAATACAAATGTCACAGAAATATGTTATACTTGAACATACAAAGCCTCCACGCTTCCAAGTCCCAACATGAAATACATTCTCATTAAGTCACTCAAAAATATGGGCAGGAGCTGCTGATTTTAGGATCATAAACTGCCATCTTTTGCTGCCAATACTGAAACTGAAAGGAAGAGCCAATTACTAGGTTTGAGTATGCTTCTTTGTCACAATTGATAGTAAATACTTGCAATTTCTTTGGCGTCCATCTTCTGGAGCAACCATAGCATAGGGGCAATTGAACCAAGCCTGGCCCTTTCCAATGATTCCATGTGAAGAGGTATTATATCAGCTCCGCTGGTGCATCAAAGTGTTGCATGAAATTAAAAAGACAGACTGATAAACTATGCTGTTGGATTTCTCAATTTTGACTCCATGAAAAATGAGATGTTAGTGTCCATAAGCCCTTCATTATTTTCTGCAGTCCCATCTGAAAAGAAAATGACAAAACTAATTTTCCATCCAATTCTTTAACCATAAAGAGGAAATGAGTGAAAAGTGCTTCGTTTAAACTGTGTATAATCTGATTATAAATCATGGTACAAAACTGTATGTTGCAGATACAAACAACAAATTCTCATAAATTTTGTAGCAAATCCAATTACACTTATAAGGATGGAAGCTTTAAATTTAACATAGCAGATGTACTCTATAATAGTATAATGTTTTTAACTTTATGTACGTTTTCTTTCTTTTGTAGTTTTATCCTCATGTGTAGTAGATAAACACTCCCTCTTCCTGGAATTTTCCCATTAAAATCAAATTTGGAGAACAACAACAAAAATGACAGAAAGAAGTAAAAATTCCCATGCTGTTTGAATGCATCCTAATCCAATGTTTCAGATGGGATCAGCACATACATTTGGTCTAGCAAGACTTCCTCTAGAATGCGGATAACTCTAACTAGAGAAGGTACTACTTATATTTTATCACCCCTCCTTCCTCTGTGCTGTCAAAACCAATTTTTTGACTACAGGTACATAATTGCAGATAGTTGAGCTTGAGCATCATTCACCTTGATATCATACATTTATTTAGGAGTATGCAGCATCAATCACCCGCGAACACATAAACTCCCCTGCTCTAAACCAACATTTGCACTTTGAGATAGGAGGGACTTATATAAAGTACTGGGTGAATAGGCAGTAAATCCTCAATCTGTTGATCTTATGGCTGGTGGTATAACTGCCTACTGCTTCAAGGACCTAAATAACATCTAGTACTTTTCATAGTTAGGGAATTCAAGCTATTTTATTCTGATATAGACATCTCTTTCATATCTCATCTTATGAAAACATCATATTCCAAAACTTGATAGAAGGTTCAAACTTCAAACACTTTGACAATTCCAAAACAAATTGCAGAGCCTATTTTCATTTACCATTCTCGACATATCATTTAGAAATAGCTAGCCTAGAAAAGCAAGTTTGAGTGACTGATATATTAAAACCCAATACTTATAGAGTTAAAGGAGCCCACTTTAAACACAATGGAGTGGCCTCTCAACAGTATCCTCTCAAAACAACCAGGCCTTTTTGAGAAGGCTTACTTGAGTTACATTTAGAAGCATTCAGTGACATTGTCAACTCGGCTGTGGTAAAGAACTACAAAGTCATCCAGGACATTCTTTCCAGCGTCACCGTCAAGCCCAGAGCAAGATACCGTGATGCCAAGCTCATATAAACTGGACATACTCTAATGAAGCCTATATTACAAGTTGTACCTGGAAACAGAATCATATACATCAAATAATATCGCCAGTTGGAAAGGCAGGAAACTAATTGAATAGAATTTTGATAAGAAAAACTCAGAATATATAAAGATCGCATATTTCCAAATAATCAGAATTCTATTAGACCCAGAATGAGAGACAGAGCCGCTCAGCAAGAATACGGAATTCTCATCTGCATTATGGAGTTCCAATTTTCCTTACAGGAAAACTGGAAAAGAACGAAGAAGAAACGCCAATTGGGAGAGTAAAGAACGATAGAGTTGTTTGACCTGGTTCTCCTGTAGCCAACAAATAAGTGCCACGTTTGTCTGTCGTAGCCGTCTGTAATCTACGTAATCTAAAGAAGGAGACACGTCATCCGCATCAACGCACCGCGATCCACGTAGAGTAGTGCCACATAAGCACACATCCAAGTGTCACGACATGGAATGGTAAATGACCACGTGGCTTGAGCCACACAATAAAAAATTTCCATGTGTACTCGCATGAAACGTGGCAACAGACATGTACAAGAGCGCAACACGCAGCACTGCCGATGTCAGGAGTCGAGCCACGTATACAGGTAGAAAAGTTTACACGTCAACGTGTATTGCCACGTAGCCACATTGGATCTTACTGCCACATCAGCTGGACTAGCCTTGTGTCTACCTGTATGCACATGGGCCAATGACCGACACGTCATCACAGATTGCCACGTGGACGCGAGCAGCATCATTTAAATTGACAACATGACACTAACAGAATTTGGCTGATGACGTCAACTGAAGGACACATGGCAAGTATCAAGTCAGCAGTATAGCCACGTCATCGTAAAATGCCATGTGTACGAACTTCCGTCAAGTATTGGTATGACACATCATCAAATCCACGTGGATAACGCAGTGTTTTGCCCGTCGTTAAACTGCGGCAACCCACCTAAATTTCTGTCATTCTTCGCCACATCAATTTCCCGCTGGCTGAATTTTCCCATCCTTGTTCGGTTTTGAAATCGCGCTGCAGAGGTGGCGGCGTTTCATTTTCCTATTTCATTAATTAGTAGGTCGGACTTGTTGGTATAGAAGAGGAGAAAAGTTTTTTCGTCCGGCGAAAACCCGATATCATATATCCTTTGCAGTTAATTGATCTTGTCTTTCAGTGATGTCGGCAACAGATTTGAGGCAGTCGCAAACGTGTTGGCGGTCGTTTATTGTTCCGAGGAGCGATCTTATGCGCTGGCTTCTCTTAGGTTACCTTCTATTATGGCTGTAGTTACCGCCATGTTTGTACAAACTGAGAAATACATAATTGGTAAGCGCAAGGGACACACATGGGTCAATTTACTTCTGCCAAAATCAAATCCTCTTCACAGCTACCACATTTCTCTCGTTTGCAAACCCGCAACCTGTTGTTCATCTCCTTTTCCCTCTTAGTTGAGTTTTATATTGACAGTTGCACCAGCAGCAGTGCTAATATATCCATGGTGGTTGGCTCATTAACTATGATGATGTAAATGAACTCTTGGAGTTTTTACCACAAATTGAAGTCAATGATCACAGATCAGAAATGAAGTGCACCTAATTACTTCAAACAAAGTAGCACCTTGTGAACAACTGGAGCATTGCATTGAAAAATTTTCTTCTTGGTAATGACTCCCTCGGATCACATCAGGAGGAATGAGAACAAATAGAACAATTGTGATCACAAGAGAACAAGAATCCAATTATGGAATAAAAACAGAGGTCACTAATGATAGATTAATAATGTAAAATGCAGCAAAGCACCCAATTGCTCAGGTAAATACAACTAGAGAAAACCTATTTGATGGAGATGACCCAAAGACTGCAAGCTTTAAGGAAAATGCCTGTGTTGCTAGAAGTGGCACCCTTGCAAACCACTCATCACATAGGCTTGAGCATACTGAAATTGTCACAGAAAAGAAGAAAAAAGAGAAGGGGATCGGTCTAAGAAGATTAGAGTAAGGGGTGGAAAACACATCAATGCCACTAGTTACTCTAGTTTAATAGGAACACCCAGGTAAAATATATTCAAAGAAACAGGTCGTCAATCCTTTCACAAATGCACACTGCCAATAAATAGATGTACAACCATGCCCTAATGTTTTAGGGAAAACAAGCTACAACAATTTTGAACAAGTTAGGAAGCCTTTGTAATACAACACTCAAATTCTCTAAATTCTTATGTTACAATTCAATAAAAGGATGTGGAGACTCTCATTCCCTTGTGTTGCTCACATCTCTTTCTTCCACGAACAGGTTGTCTCATGCATATAAAACCATCCTGTAAGGAAACTCCACATGTGAAGGTGTCAAACCCTGAGAAGGAAGCAGCAGTATCAGAAAGGCTACAACCATCTCTCCTGCCTTTATGCTGCCAACACTTCTTATTTCCTCGAACAGGTTGCCTTCTGCAGACTGAACCATTCCCCAAAGTTGCTCCACAAGTAGTAGACAGAAATTCATCAACAGAGCTTCCATTTGAAGATTGAAACTGCAATCTATGACCACTGTCGATTTCAGATGAGGCATTGCAGTTTGTCTGGCCACCAGAACTACTGCGTACCAAAGTGATGGAAGGAATATGGCATTTTTCTTCTGCTATTGGCTTAGAGACAGATCTCTTAACCCTCATCCCTTTGTGTTCCTCGCATCTTTTCCTTCCCGACACTGGTTGCCTCCTACAGAAATTCCCATCACCTAAATTTACCCCACATTCAATAGTGTGGTCCTGGTCATCGTGAGTGCTGGAGTTCAGATGCACATCAGGAAAATTATGTGAATTTCCTTCTGCAATGGATTTAGAACTACTAGATCCATAAATTCTCATTCCTTTATGCTCTTCACATCTCTTTCTCCCTTTAACCGGTGGCCGTCTACAAGGAATTCCACCATTCATGATGAATCCACATCTGGGAATAAAGTCCTCATCAATGCCACATTTTTCTGAAACTAATCTAGACTGGGATCTGCTAAATTTGAAAATTCCTTTGAGGAAAATTTTGCCATTCTCTTCCTCATGAATAGTACATTTTTCTGGTGAAAGTGGCTTGTTTGCTTCAATCCTAATGCCAACTCGACCTGGACTTAAAAATAGAATCCTTTTGGCAATACTTGAAAATGTGCTATTGCTTGACGCAATTTTACTGAGTTTCTGAATGATATCATCGGGACGCCGTGCACCATTACTACCTTTGTTCCATGCATAGTCAAAAGTGTCAAGCAGCAGAGCTTCTGTTTTCTCAGCACTCCTCTTATCCTTTATCTGTTTTCATACAAAAAAGTCAATGAGGAGGATAAATAGAATGCTCAAATTTATATGCTAGAAGTTGCATCCTGATGCTTTGGTGACATATACACCATTGCAACTGGTCAAGCAACATTCTCCTTGGTAATACAGATATAATGTATGCATTTAGAAGTATGCAGGAAGCATTACTCACACACATACTCAGGTCTGCATACTCTAAACCAACCTTTGCACTAAAGCTAGCCAAGACTTCATAAATGTACTGGATGAGTGGACAATACATCCTCCATCGATTTGTGTTCTTATGAATGCCATGACCATAACTACTTCTCTGAAACCTAAATTACATCTAGTTCGAATTGAAGATAAATTTTTTATGGTACAGTATTGGCTTTTGCATCTGATCCTAGATAAACGTTATACTTCAATAATTTCACAAAATGTCCAAACTTGCTAACATGGTTATTCAGAAAACAGAATTGCAGAGCCTAATTCCATCAACCATTATAGACCCACCATTCACACATGCCTAACCACTGACCAAGCAAAGTAAGTTGGATATACTTGCAAAGGAAACAGCAATACTTACAGAAGCCCATCTAAACACAATGGAGTGGCCTCTTTCAAATATCTCCTCAAACAAGCCAGACCCTTTTTGAGGAGGCTCACATTTAGAGTCATTCCAGTAACGATTAGCACAGTTATTGCCCAGATGAGCACCTGAACGGCCATAATGCTGGAGCCGGCTCCTGACACTGTCAGCTTGGCCAAGATAAACCACCACAATGTCATTTGGGTCAAGCTTGCTAACATCACGACCAATTCTAGACTCAGTGCCACGAGATATTGCTATGCCAAGCTCATATAAACCGGGGCCTGAGCTAGAAGGTAGATTGTGAACCCGGTACCTAGCCGCTCCTTCCTTCCCCTGAGAATAATCTTCCCAATCAGAAGGTCCAATGAGAACCTGAAACAAAAGCAATGTACATCAAACGATATTTGCGAATAGCTAGAAATTGATATGCAAAATTTATATAGAACTCGAACCATATGAAAGTTGCTTTTTGGGCCAAGTGACCATAACTGGATCGGGACCAGGACTGAGAGAAGTAGAGAAATCAAACCTGCCATTTCGAAAATTGGGAGTCGTGCTTAGTTCGCTTATAGTCTTCCCTCTTCAATCGGGATACGGCAGGAACAGCAGCGGAGTCATGACCCGCTCCCATTTTGTGCTTGCTAACTGCTAAGCCTCGATAACTGATAATCACCGTTAATCACGCCGTTTTAAAGTGGCGGCAGAATTTTATTTGGAAACACAGAACAGATTACTCTGTCCTCCTGGCATTTGAATTTCAAAATAAACCGTCATCATCGCCCAGGTTTGGGCTTCCAATAGGAAAGATAATCAAAGCAACAAAAGAATAACGACTATTAACCGAAGGCGTCTTAGGAATGACTAGCTTCCTTCTATGAATGATTTGTTCTCAACCTGTAAACTGAACAGCCGATAGCTGGAGGAAAAAAAAAAACATATCTGCAAAAAAGGAAGCCCATATAACAACTCAACAAGGCACGATAGATCCATTTATGTTGAAATCTAACAAGGGAAAGTGTAGTCGGGATAAGTTCTTCATAAAAAAAAGAAAAGCCCATGTACAAAAAGGCCCAAGATCACTGTCACGCCTATTGTTCGATTATTTGGTTCCAAAACGGATGACGTACAAGTACCATTTCATAAACAACCAGCCTGGTCGTTTTGCTAAACTGAGAACAAATGACGTGTCGTTCTGTCGCGCCAGCTTCTTTTTGCTGTAATTTTCTTTCCATGGAGTACCTAAGATACTTTTTCTAATAATCCTCAAAGACATGAGGTCGGATTTGCATGAATTACACGAAAGTACATTTTCTTAATTACTTGTGCATGGGATTAATCCTTAATTAAGTATATAATGTCAAATAGTAAGTTAAAAAAGAAGGTCTTATGCCCTTAATTAATTTAATAAACAAACCAGTCAAACACAATCAAGCCCGCTAAAGCCGATGGCTAACTAGAACCTATAAGTAATTAGATATACCTAACAAAGAAAAAGTTTGAAAAAAACCCCAGAAACATGTGCATTTCACGACCCAAATCTATAAATGAATTATTTTGCTAGTAAAGGATTGGTCCACGCGAAAGGAGCAGGTCAACAATCTACTTCTCGGTAGCTAATGAACAGCTGAGTATCAATATCACCATCACCAATTTTTGATTGTAGTGCCTAATTACACTATTGAGAATTGACATTAATTCAATTTTGGATAGCGGTAAAATATTCAAAATTTGATATTTGAATAAAAAATTTGGAAGTTTTGCGTAAATTACTAGATTATAAAATTCGGATTAGGCGTCATTTGCTCTCATAAAATCAATTTATTTTATTTTCACACTGTGCATTTTCTATCAGTAAATTCACTTGGGTGACTTTTCTTTTGCTGTAAAAATTATATATATATATATATATATGCATATTCACAGAATTTTAACTTGTTATCTTTGGAATTTGTTTCAGAACTGATAAAGTTTGAAACCTCTTTCGTTTTGCTTGCTGCCAAAATAGAATATTGGTAAAAGAGCCAGTAAAAGGAAAAGAGCATCATCATAATTTGTTGTTGCAGATAAGAAAGAAACAAGCTCATGTCATTTTGTGATTGTGGAACCCATTTTTCTGTTGTTGCCTTCTCTTCCATTAGGAAATTTTCATTTTTCTATTTAACTTATTTGGCAAGTTATTGTTCATGTTCATTTGTTTCTTGTACTAAATAACTATATAATTCCAAATTATATGTATGGATTGATTAGATATGGTAGGGATAGTGATGGGGACATTAATCTTATAATTTTCTGCTAATTCTTTGCAATGAATAGTTCAATAAATATTTAAATTTATTGCACTTTTTTTTAAAATTTTTATTATGAAATAAACGTTTATTTGTAAATTTAAATTCGATATAAAAAATTAGAAAAATAAAATAAAATATCAATGATTGAAGGTTGAAATTGTCAAAATTTCCTTCATCCACTTTACTGAAATAGTCAAAGTTGGTTTACAGCTCTCTGCATGCAATTCCCCTCATCCTTTTCTTTTTGTCTTCAAGCTTTAATCTGACTAAACAGTCTTATGTTCTTGTACCAGTAATACTGTATTGCCACCTGATTTCTGTCTTTTTTTTTTTCTTTTTCAAAATTAATTTTGAATGTGATTTAAATTCATAATTTTCTAATTTAAATTAATTCACAGTTAAAATTGTTTTTTCAAACTTCAAGAAGATTATATATAATATAATATGAGAAAATGGTATTTGAAATGTTTCAATCGCGTCTAAGTGAGTTTCGACGTATTTCGATTTTTCAAGTGAGTTTCGACGTATTTCAATTTTTCAACATGATACATTGATGATAAAATATGCAAAAAAAGGAAGACATGGATAATATTTAATTTATTTAAACACGATGATAAAATATGCAAAAAAAGGAAGACATGGATAATATTTAATTTATTTAAACACGATGATAAAATATGCAAAAAAAGGAAGACATGGATAATATTTAATTTATTTAAACACGATGATAAAATATGCAAAAAAAGGAAGACATTAATTTATTTAAACACGACCGGCTAATTGCTAAAGCTCCAGTCCTGTAATCAGCAAATAACTTGTGAACTGAATTTGAAGGAACTGTGAAATCTACAAATATATTTAAATGGCGACAATGAAAAATAATAATATTGTGGAAATTTCCAATTGATGTTAACTATGTCTTGAAATTTGTCTTAATTTGGAAGGTTCTAGGGCTGGTTTGTCCTACCGATATGCCCTTATGTCTGCATTAATATATATTGTGGCAGAAGCCAGAGCCTATTCAAATATAATGTCTTAAGTTTTTTACTTTTGACCTTTTATATATAATAAATTTCTAATAATAATGTTTAACAAGATTAATTCTGAACCATCAGAATTGGAGATTGAGGGAGAAGAAATTATAAAAGAATGGTATAATTATAAAATAAATTAATGATAACAATGGCAGCTTTAAACCAATATTCCTTTCCTCCATAGCACCTAACCCCTTAACTTATTCCTCAAATATATTATTTTTTGCTGAAAAGTCCTTATCAGAAGTTCCTAAAAAGATTTTTAAACTGAGGGACAAGCAAAGCAAACACCAATAATTCATCTAATCCTTTGATTTATTTTTGGGATCAAAACCATAAACAAGTCGTTTCTTGAATTTCATTTTGTCGTTTTGTCTGTTTCATTTTTCTGCATTGGCGCTTTGTCTCTTGTAATTATCTACAAGCCGAAGGAGCTTTTCATAAAACAAACACGTCCAAGAAATAAACTGTACCAGTGACAAACCCGCTTTTCACATAGCAAACCAACTTCTTCCCTTTAACCTCACGCTTTCCACATGAACATCAAAAAAGGAGCCTCAGTTTCCATGAAAGGAACTTGTGCTTGCAAAAACTGATCTGGATTTGTTTGATCCAAAGTTGTCTACAGTGGTTTGTCATGTAAACGATAAGTATACCCACTTAGGAAAGTGTCTTGCAGTGCAAGACCTCTTCTACTTTTAGCAATTGTAGCTTTTTATCAAGACAGGCACTTTGAAAGCATCTGGGTTTCTGTGCAGCCACTTGATATGATAATGCAGTCCTTTTCATGCTCAAGTATTTGTTATTTATGAGAGTTTGATCTGGGTTTTTTTCCCATGTGTTGTGTTGAACAAGGTGGTGTAGAAGAGGGGTTTAAAGGTTAGATTTTTTTTTTTTTTTGCTTGATGATATGAATGTGAAGGGTGGTTCAGATGTGGTGGTTGGAAAATTGGTTGTTGTTGCGGTCAAGGCATCGAAAGAGATACCAAGAAGGGCTTTGGTCTGGGCTTTGACTCATGTTGTTCAACCTGGGGATTGCATTAAGCTACTGGTGGTCATCCCTGCTCACTCCTCAAGTAATCCTCCATGTTTTTTTTTTTTTTGTTTCTAATTTTAAATTTTTTCTCTTTTTTCCTATCAAATTCCGTTTGCTTTGTTTGTCAGGGATTAATTTCATATAATTTACCCTGCTAATTGCTCTGCTCTGCCCATTTAATGCTTAGTGGAAACTTTTATAAGATTCTCTTGTATATATAACAACTTCCTTTGTGAGATAGGTCTCTTGGCATGAATTTAATGAGCATGTGAGGTCAATGGCCTTTTTTTCCACCATCAACTTGGTTGGCTCTTAACAAAATTCTAATAACATTAAATTTTCACTTAATAGTTCCAGAACTTCTAGAAAAATTTCTTCTTGTACATGAGAAAGTAGCAAGAGAACAATTATCCTTCAGATATAGTCAGTTATGTTTCTGAGATTGATTGAAGTTGGGAATTTGATCGTCTTTAATGAATCCTTTAATACTCAAACTCCATTGATGAATAAATTATAGAGAATTGCTGACTTAAAAGCCAAATGCCATATCCAGTTCCATACCTTTCTTTCAATTTAATGTATTTATTGTAGCATGTGAACATCTTAATTATCATGTAGAATTTTGCAAATACGCAATGTGCAGCAATGTAGGTCACAAACAATTTTATTAAATGCCCAAAATGAACTTGACTATCTCATAACAATTATAGAAACACTGGATTTTGAGGCCCTGGGGTGTTTATTCTTTTCCTTTATCACAATGGCTAAAGTATGATGATACTAAAGTGGATGAAATACTCTTCAGGTAAAAAATTGTGGGGTTTCTCAAGATTCACCAGTGACTGTACTAATGGTAACCGAAAGTCACTATCAGGAACCAGATTAGATCAGAGAGATGATATCTCAGATTCGTGCTCCGAAATGTTGCGTCAAATTCATGATGTTTATGACCCTCAAAAGGTCTACCTATTAATCTTGAAAAAAGTTTTGGTCTTTTCTCTTTTCTTCTAGTATTGAGTCTTTACACTTTTTGACCTTTTTCACAGATAAAAATCAGGGTCAAGGTCGTTTCTGGTTCACCATATGGAGTGGTAGCTGCTGAAGCCAAGAAAGCTTATTCAAACTGGGTTATATTGGACAAGTAATAAAGTCATGTAAACCTTGTTCTCTCGCATGTCATTTGATAGGCATTGTTCTTCATTTCTTAGAATTCTGAAATTTGCAATTTTATAGGTGGTTGATTGACAGCACTGTTATTAAGTTGAACTTTGGATATCCAAAGTACCTTGTAGGTTTTAGCATTAAAATGTTGTACTTACATTTATATTTGTTTAACTAAAATTGCTATTCTTGTTTCCTGACAGACATCTGAAACATGAGAGGAAATACTGCATGGAAGAGTTACAATGTAATGTTGTGGTTATGAAACGGAATGAGCCAAAAGTACTTCGTTTGAATTTGATTGGATCACCAATGATGCAACCTGAAGTATCTTGGCCATTGTCATTTGATGTAGAAGCATTTTCAAAGGATTTCGAGAGAAAGCATCACCAGCTAGATCTATTAAAAGGTCCGTATGTAACTCCAGCAAGTAGTCCAGATCATGAATCATCACTTACTGCAACAGATGTTGGAACTTCCTCAATATCAAGCTCCGATCCTGGGACTTCGCCATTTTTTCTCTCTGGACTTTATGGCAACCAGAAGAAAGAGCATTTATTATTTGCAGATGAAAATCAAAGTCTATATGAATCTGATTCTGACACCGATAGTGACAAACAGACTCCTTCTGTAAGATTATATTTCCAGCCATGGATGGATGATAATCTGAGTTCCAGTGATGAACTTGCAAAACCTTTTGTGAATAGTTTCCAAAAAACCAAGAATGCTGCTCTGACATCCACATACAAAAGCTTGCTGGAAAATTTGTCCAAATTAGACAGAGAACCTGATATTGGAGTCCTGAACTATAGACTAGATGTAAACTTAAGCAAAAGTGTACGGGAAGCAATTTCCTTGTCTTCACATGTGCCTCCTGGTCCTCCTCCATTATGTTCAGTATGTAGACACAAAGCTCCTGTATTTGGAAATCCTCCTAAATGGTTTACTTATGCGGAACTGGAATTGGCTACAGATGGATTTTCAAAAGAAAATTTCTTGGCTGAAGGTGGATTTGGTTCTGTTCACCGAGGTGTTTTACCCGATGGCCAGGTGGTTGCTGTCAAGCAACATAAATTGGCTAGTTCACAAGGTGATCTAGAGTTTTGCTCAGAAGTTGAGGTTTTGAGCTGTGCACAGCATTGTAATGTTGTGATGTTGATTGGATTCTGCGTGGAGGATGGAAGAAGATTGCTGGTTTATGAATATATTTGCAATGGATCTTTAGATTCACATCTTTTTGGTAAATTCTCCTACACATATAGAAAGTTCTTTTTCAAAATGAAACACGATGTTTCTTCTTGCTTGCATAAGCTCATAACTGTTTGCTAATAGGTTAGTCCTTTCTATGGCCAACATATTCATTTGTTGTTTGAATTTTGGCAGGACGTAATCAAGATTCATTGTCATGGTATGCAAGACAAAAAATTGCCGTTGGAGCAGCTAGAGGTTTGAGATACCTTCACGAAGAATGTAGAGTGGGCTGCATCGTACATCGTGACATGAGGCCTAACAATATCCTCATCACTCATGATTTTGAACCGTTGGTATGTCATGATTTTAGCATTATTTATGTTTGCATGTTTTCATCTTTGTCAAGTTATAGGTACATGAAATTCATTTTGGCATTATTTACTTTGCAATTTCAGGTTGGAGACTTTGGACTCGCGAGATGGCAGCCAAAGGGAGACATGGGAGTGGAAACAAGAATAATTGGAACATTTGGGTATGCTTATTGGAAGGTTCTTAATTTTCTCCTGTATTGTTTTTTTTTTTTTTTTTTTTTTTTTTTTTTTTTTTTATTGTTTTTTTTTTTTTTTTTTTATTTTTTTTTTTTTCTGTAAATGTAGATTAACCCACCAAATCCTGCTTTTTGTGTAGTATTTAGCTCCAGAATATGCTCCAAGTTGGCCAATACAGAAAAAGCTCGATGTCTATCTTTTGATAGTATTGGTGGAGTAGTGTACAGGATTTTTTTTTTTTTTTTTTTTTTTTTTTTTTTTTTCTGTAAAATGATAGATTAACCCACAAATCCTGCTTTTTGTGTAGGTATTTAGCTCCAGAATATGCTCAAAGTGGCCAAATCACAGAAAAAGCTGATGTCTATTCTTTTGGAGTAGTATTGGTGGAGCTAGTTACAGGACGGAAAGCTATCGATATAAAACGACCTAAAGGCCAGCAGTGCCTAACAGAATGGGTACAAGCATAATAACTATAGTTTTAAATATGTGGAAATATGTGTTTAAGTGGCAGAGCATATTTCTTTTTTGTTTATCTTATATCTTGGCCATTACTTATGTCATGAAATTTGGAGCAGGCACGCCCACTGTTAGAAAAGCAAGCCATTAACGAATTGGTTGACCCGCGCTTAATGAATTGCTATTCAGAAAAAGAGGTGCATAACATGCTGCAATGTGCTGCATTGTGCATTTGCCGCGATCCTCATTCAAGGCCTCGGATGTCTCAGGTCAGAGAATACTCTAAATTTCAGAAGTTTCTAAGACTAATATGTTATAAAATGTTGATTTGAGTAATTGGATTTCATATGAATATTCCACTGGACCATTTCATTTATAGCGAAGGGATGTTTCTTCTACCAACAATTTTGCAACAAAGCTATCCATGTCCTTGATCTAATTGCAGAACAAGCTTTCATAATTGTAGGAAAAGTTAATGTAGACAATTTATGTTTCTTACTTTTATTAGCACAAGGCTACTACATTGTTAACTGATATGTACTTCTTTGTAAAGGTACTTCGGATGTTGGAAGGTGACATAGTCATGAATTCAAGCAATCACGTATGAACTTATGGATGTAGCAACAAAAGCAGTTGCGGAAAGAACAATAGCAACTGACAAAAAGGCCTTGTAGACGGGTTGCAGAGCTTAATTTGGGTGAAAGCAAAGCAGAGTTTTGATTATGAGCTTCTTTAAATTACTTTTTAAGTGGTAATCAACATTTTGTTAGCTCGTGAATTATAGATTCTTGGATGTATAGTTGTAATTATGGATGTGAAGGTTGTTAGCCATGTATTATTTCCTCCTTGATTCTAGATTTAATTTATTATTCTCTCTCAAATGCTCAACCTTCAAATTCAGGACTTGATTGTTGCAGATGATAATTTAAGAATTTTACTTAAAAATTTTTTTTTTCTTTTTTGGTACAAAAAGAAAAAGCAAGAAAGAAAAGGAAAAGAAAATATCAAAAATACAAGTACTAAACTTTGAAGTAGAATAAATGCAACCATACGAGCGACCGGTCGTTTCCAGCGAGCATTGCAATTGAATTTTTCTAACGACATGAACAGCAGAACGGTCACGTTAGGCACTAGGGATTCTGTCGTTTGGTTTATATTTTTTTAGGGGCCAGTCTTGTTCTTCTTTTGTCGAAAGACCAGATCGGCCAAGTTAGCCTTCTTTGGTTCTGTCGTTTAATTTTGGAAGTAGAAGGACAGTCCGAGTACAGTGGTTTTGACTCGATGAGCTCCGTCCTCAAAATCCGCAGACCTATTTCTTCTGCACTCCTCTGGCACTCTCTGCGTCGATTCTCCACAGCCTTGACATGTATCTCTCTCTATTAATCCTGTTTCTCTCCATTAATTCGATGAAGCAGAAAAAAGAAGAAAGTTACTTAAATCAAAGTCTTGTGATTGTGACACAGATGCTTCGGAAGAGATCAAAGCAGAAGCTTCAACGCCGGAACACCCTACCTTAATTCACCCCTCGGCTATTGTTCATCCACATGCTGTGATTGGCCAGGTTCTCTCTCTGCCTTTCTTTTTCTTTATTTTTTTCAATAAATGGTTAGCAGAAGTCAGTGAATTATTGACTCTTTTACAGGGTGTTTCGATTGGTCCATTCTGCACCGTCGGATCATCTGCCAAGCTTGGGAATGGTTGTCAATTGTATCCTGGTACCCATGTTTTTGGAAATACAGAATTAGGGGAGCGGTGTATTTTGAGGACGTGAGTTCACCTGCTTAACTTACATAAATAGAAGTTATAATCTTTTCTATTGATAGATAATTAGATACTGGTTTGTTTCACTTGACGACATTACTTAGTTCTTTTAAATATTGTGTCAGGCAGTGGTGCTGTGGTTGGTGATGATCTTCCTGGGCAGACTGTTATAGGGAATAATAATATAATTGGTCATCATGCCGTAGTTGGTGTTAAATGTCAAGATATGAAATACAAGGTTTGTTTTCAACTTAACTCACTACCATGCCTGCATGTTTGTTAGCTATATGTCTGATTTTTGAAGAATTGTCATGCCGTTTAGAGAACTTGAATTTGATTATGACCACAAAGCATACAATTCAGCTTGGAAATAAGAGACTTGTAGTGTTAACTCATTGCCTGAAGTTGTAGTGATTTTGCAAATGGTAGTACTGCCTGATTTAACGGCCCCTACGATCAATGCTATAAACATCTTACCTTCCTTAATCATTGATCTTCTGCTAACCCGAAGCATGGAATTAGATGCATATGGTCAACTCTTTTACCTTCCTTGCGATGTCTGTTTGTTGCTTCTTCTTTCAGATCTGTGGTGCTTTGTTTTTGTTCACATTTAAGTTATTCTTCTGGTTATTTACTGGTATGAAAGCGTTGTCTTGATGCATAGACATACGAAAATGCCTGAGTTTATTTCTGTTTTATCTTCATTGAGATATTTGTCATCATCATCATATGTTGCATTTGCATTGTCATGTCGTAACTGTTCACATGTATTAGCCTCTTGGATTGTTTAGACTTTAAGCATTTGATAGCTGTTTCTAATTAAAATGTCCTCTTTTGTTTTTTATTCACACATTTAGCCAGGAGATGAGTGTTTTCTTGAAATTGGTGACAACAACGAAATCAGAGAGCACACCTCAATTCACCGATCTTCAAAGTCAAGTGATAGAACAGTATGGCCATTGTGCTGATTTATTTATATGCTGTGGTCATAATTTTTGTACTTCATGCAGTGTTTATATACTGAGTAGCATTATATGTGCAGATTGTAGGAAATAACAATCTTATCATGGGGTCTTGTCACATCGCCCATGACTGCAGTATAGGCAATGGTAACATATTTGCTAACAGTACACTTCTAGCTGGCCATGTTATTGTGGAAGTAAGTTCTTCATTTATCACATTATAATTAAGATCAATAACCTCATTCTGCATATCAATATTTTATGCTCTCTGATTAGGACTTGATTGAGGTGCTGCAAATGTAGGACTATAGCCACACTGCTGGAGCTATTGTTGTTCATCAGTTTTGTCACATTGGTTCATTTTCTTTCATCGGTGGCGGCTCTGTGGTATGATCTTTTCTTATTTTCAGTTCTTGATTTTTCATTCTGTAAGATTGTATCATGTACCAAGGAGTCTCACAGGGATGGTGGGTTGTCTACCTGTTGATACATATTGGTTTTCCAACGGAAAAAAAAAAAAAAAAACCGGACAAGAAAATCATTGTTGCATAATCTTCTGTTTTGCTGGATTTATTTGGTGTGTATATATTACAAAAAACTGAAAAGAAAAATTTCTATCATGAAAATTGTGTTTCTTATGGCTGAAGGTTTCGCAAGATGTCCCCAAGTTTGCAATGGTGACTGGAGAAAGAGCTGAGCTCCGTGGTCTAAATTTGGAAGGTCTTCGGCGACATGGATTCACGGCCACAGAGGTTTGCATATACTTTCATTCTGATGGCGCTGTAATGTAACTAAAATGTAGCACCATGTTTTCCTGAGTACATTGAAAATATCAAAAGGAGATTTAAGTATTAAAGATATGCATCCTTTATTCCCTTTTATACAATCAAGCTTATTGGTAATTATGTTGATGTAGACTTCTTTCACAGAATGAGTATGCAGATGATATCCTGCTTTATAAATTTTAATGGCTTATAATGCATAACCTCTAGTTACTATTCGGAAATTTGAGCCGGGTAGTATTAATAATAGCATGTATTGTATGTAAGATTGATTTATTCCTTCCTTAAGCTCTTCTGTATGAGTTGAGGTCTGGTTTGTATATTTTTTGCAAAATCTGTCGCTGAACTTGCATTTCAGAAATGCAAACTACAGTAGAACTACATAGGAAGGCACGTGATAAAATTCAAGGCTTGCCTCTTGTTTATTGTTTGGAGATGTATCAGCTGGGCTTTGAATATCTTTTTATATGCAACATTGTCAAAGACACTGGTGAAATTTCTGTCAATCATTATATATTTATATCTCTTCAATACTTGGTGGCAATATTTATCTTCCTTTTTTCCACTATCAAAATTTTGAATTACAATTTATATTTGGACAAGGATATAGATTAGAAGTCTCAGAACAGCTTACAGAAAGATATTCATGCCTGTCACTACTAATTCTGTGGGTTTTGAAGAGCGTCTTGCTGAAGTGGTATTGCGTCTCTCTTTCTTGTCCTTACACCCACTACATGTTTTGTATAATATTCACCAATAATAATAAATTAATTTTACAGGAGAAGAATGCAGAATTGCATAAGATTCCTGTTGTATGTTCCATGGTGCAGTCCCTACGTGATTCTTTTGCAGAAAATCGCCGTGGAATATGCAAGTTCAGACATTGGAGTGGCTCTTGAAGATATTCTATTGTGAGTTTCTGCCTCTCTCTCTAATGTTGAAAAGAATTTCCCATTCAGGAAATATACTTAATGTTCTCTTCCAATTTCATTCCTGCAAACAATCCAACTAAATCACGGCAGTCCTGGTATGGGAGTTTATAAACTGTAATAAGAGGTTTTTATTCTAAAAAAAAAAAAAAAAAAAAAGTCCTGGTATGGGAGTTTTATTAAACTGTAATAAGAGGTTTTTATTCTAAAAAAAAAAAAAAAAAAAAATTCATTAAAAAAAAAAAAAAAAAAAAAATCATAGCATCACTCAGGCTGTGTTATAATTGTGTAAATGATATGGGTATTTGCTATTTGCAGATCAGCATTGTATTTTAGGGTGGTGTAGACTGTAGACTAATATTTTATTGTCAGAGGCATTCCAAATGGCATCGGATTGAGATAATCATTATTAAGAAGAGTTGGAAATTTGTAAAAAGGGAACAAATTATTTTGTTTTTAAATTTTGCGCTATGCAGAAGCTGCCGGATGTAAAATATTTGTGTGGAATGAGCAGAGGAATTGATGTATTATTCAAAGAAAACGTGTTTAGGTAAATTCTTTCACAGCAGAACTGTCATTCATAATGATAATTGATATCAACTTCCAAATATGCACAGTTGAAGAAGCTTTGATTGATTCCTTCTGATTTTTAGATCATGTTCTTGTTTTACTGCATTTGAAATTTTACATGAAAAATTAAATTTGGGCGAGTATTATTATAATTTGCCTTTAATTTATTTACTTCTTGCTTATCCAATGAGTTGTAATATTGATAGCTGACCTGCCAACTCCTTTTTATTTTTATGGCTTAGATTGTATTTTACTTGCTTGCAGGGAAAATACAGGCTAAAAGAGCCTATCAGAACAGTTGCAGCACATGGATTATTGATATCTTACAGAATTTATAATGCTGAGAACTATTATACATACATATAAAATCTAAACTTTATTTGATGGGGCCATCTTTTTTTGTTTTCAACATCTGATCCCACCTGTTTAATCAGTTGAAACATGTGTTCCATTTCTGGTACCACTTGATGTCTTATACCCCATTTCACTTTCAAAAACAAACAAGAAACTAATATTCAATCATTTTCTGTAATGTGGTATAAACATTAAATTCTTCTTATAGAAGGAAAAAAAAAAAAAAAAAAAATATAAATTCTGCTTTACTAAAAAAAAAAAAAAAAAAACTTTAAATTCTGCTTTTCTACAGGAGTCTATTCTCCACTACAGTGGCTCACATTCTCATCTTCACCTTTTTTTCTCAGTGGCCCTTTCTTTCTTAAGAAGCAAAGACGAGGGCTTTGTGGAACTGGGTATATTAGTATTTATATGCACGAGGTGATGTATCAAATTTAAAATTCAAAAACCTAAGATATTGTGCTCTTTCACCTACTAAGTCTAGCAAGAACTGCATCCCCCCTCCCCCAAATAACACCTCCAGATTAATGGTCATAATTAATTAGTGCAAATGATGATTATGATTGTTAATTAGGCAAGATGAGTGAATTGCTTTTAAAAGAAAGATGCAAAGTTCCTGTACATTGGACATTCCGCAACTCTCTTGGTTTCATTAAATAAATAATAATGGAAAAAGGGATTTAGGGGCATATAAGCTGTGGTTAGATTAGATCAGTGGTTCCCTTTATTTGAATATGACCTGTGAGGTAGCCTTGCCCATTCATTACTCTTTCCTCATTCAAACTTGGTATTCGTTCTTTTCAGCATTTGGATTCAATTCTAATTAATCTACTTGTATGTAGGAATAAATTCAAGAAACGAAAATTACTATTCAAACTGAGGTTATGTTTTCACTGGACTAACAGCCAGTCTTGGAGTATTTACCTAGCTCTAACATTTGACTGCTAATTAACTGAACAAACGAATTTCTAGAAACTTTCAGTAATTTTAAAAGAAAAAGAAAGTTAGTTTCTCAGGATTTGTTTTGAAGAAAGGTGATTACATCATTTGGAGTTCGGAGAACCTAAAGAAACAAGAATTGGTTTCAGTAATGTCCAAAACATTGGTTGTGGCATTTGCATCTGCCCAGCGTCACCCACAAGTTTTATTTGCTCACCGTTTTGGTTTTGCCATTTAAAGATTTGAATGGAAGGTAGACTGGCACCTTTTGCTTTAGCAATAATTATAAAAAATAAAAAATAAAAGAAAAATAAAAATAATTGAACCAATTACAAATACACTATTCTACTATATTTTTGTTATGATATTTTGCATATGTATAGTTAACTTATCGAAAATGGGGGTGAAAGGACTATAATGTCCCTGAAAAACATTTTAACAGTTCTAATATTGTTGATGTGAATGACAGGAATGCAATTTTCAATGTATGCAGACACAACCTGCGCCATTACTGAGACTAAAACAGAATTGGGGTAGGCTTAATGCTCCTCTAACACCGCCAATGCATTCAAAGCACTTGCACCAAAATAATATTTTATAAAGTGGTTAGCTAGCTAGTACTACAAATTAGTACTTTGAGTTTAAAAGTGAATATCCAAAAGCAAATAAGGTGCAATTAATCTGAGTGCTCTTTGTCTCTTTTTATCACCACTTTCTTTTCTTTTCTTTTTCTTTTAAAGTTGGTAGTATGAGAGATAAAGAACGATTTATACACATTCGTACATCTAAAAACCTTTTGTAAAATTATATAAAAAGAAGATAAGATAAATTTGGCTTTTGCATTTTTTTTTAAATTAATTTTGTAAATTAAATAAATCATTATTTTATTATTGATATGGAATCCAACTATCAATGTATTAATTAGGTCATCGTTATGTAGTACATTCAATCAATTTTTAGTACATTCTTTTGTTTTAATGAATGTTCAAAACAAGTAGCTAAGGAAGTAGTATTAACTCATGAAATATAACAACAAAGTTCTAAAATACTCTAAAAAAATAATAATTAAGTAATTTAATTAATGTGGTCAAACAAAGTAAATTAAAAGAAACTTTTCTTGTAGAATTATCTTCTCTTTTTCTACAAGGGAAGATTCCATTTTATAATGATGCCAATTGAATCTATATAGAATTCTATATAATATTATATATATATAACTATATAATATATCATATATATCATTGCTAATGGTTATGTCTGAATTGTGTGAAATATTGCTAGATGGTTTGTCTGAATGTGTGGGTCCAAATATTACAATAATAAGAATAAAATAAGACAAATTTATATCGAAGTCTCTATAAATATCTTAAATAATTACTTATGTATTTAGGTTACTTATCAGGAAATTTGAATTGAATTTTCAAAAAAAAAAAAGGAAATGTGAATATTCTCTTCTTTCCTTTTATTCAAGTTCCAGATTCTACGATCGAGATGGGCTTTTAATTAGAGTCAAACAATTTAATTTAATTATATTTGTTTCGTTTTCATATTATCAGCATCATTTCTATTATTTAATTTAATTAAGAAAAATATCTTGATCTCTTAGTCTTCGATCTTAGAAATTAAAATTTAATTAATAAATAAATAGTTATTCCATGTCCACATATATATGTAACTCTGGCTAATTAAAGAGACATGAAAAATTCAAAGCTAATTAATATATTCATGTAGGCAAAAATTATTATTATGTCTAACAAAAAAAAAAAAAGTAAATAGATTAATTATTTCATCGATGGAAACAAACATTAGAGTAAAGTAGTATATTTCTCAAAAGAAGACAAAGTAATTACCTTTAACATAATATAAAAACGTAACATTAATTTTTCCTTCTGGAAATATAATTCTACAAAATTTTAATTTGCTGATCAAGTCTTCACAATCGCAGCAAGTTGTACTTTTTTGTAAACTTCCTAAGAAAGTGGCAGATTGGTTGATCAACACCAACTTTCAAACTTCTCATTTCTAACATTCCTTTAACCCTTCTTCCAAGTCATCTAGTTGATTACGTTGGAGCATTAATTAATTGTTTAAAACATTAATTAATTAAAACAAGATACACGAAATGTGCTTTTTACTATTCTATCAACCAACCAAGCTGATGAATTTTGTGATGGTAGAGTGAATAGTGACAATTATAATATTTTTAAAGAATGCTTATTTCAACTTCAATCCATCAAAATAAGTCTTCTTAAAATTTTTAAAATTTTTAATATAGTTTTATAACTTGTACGAGTGTCTTTGAATTAGCTAGCTTATATGCTTATGGAGGGCAAAAATTTTCATATGAGTAAGGATATTAATTTATGGATTTCTACTATTATTTTCTATCAATGCACTTTTACTTTCTAAAAATTTAACATACCAACCATGGAAAATAACTTTCTGAAAGTGTATTTTTAAAAGTAAATTTTCTAGTTTGAAACAAACAAGCCCTAGGGGTGCTCAAATACAAAATACGTAGAATGCCATGCTATTCTCCGTATTCTTATTACCCAGTACAAGACAAGACTTCTGGAGAGACTTGTAAATATTATACTTGCATTTCTTTATATTTCTTTTTTTTTTTTCCAATTTTGTATAGATTAGAACCCAAGTTGGAAAAGAATAAACAAAGTCCATCCAATCATCTTCTCTTGGTGTGCATCCATTGTCATAAGCCCCACCTTACCCCATCATCATATATCCCACCAAACTATTAGTTATTTGTGCTTCTCTCTCTCTTTCTGTGCTGCGATTATGTTATTTGGGGGTTGTTATTAGTCTAAAGAATCGCTGGGAGCTTTTGTCTGGGCGAAAATGGGCAGGAAGTGCTCACATTGCGGGAACATAGGCCATAATTCTAGGACTTGCACCACTTACAGAGCTGGACTTAGGCTTTTTGGAGTGCAACTTGACCTTTCTTCTTCTTCTTCTTCTTCTTCTTCTTCCACCTCTCTTTCTCTTGCCATGAAGAAAAGCTTTAGTATGGATTGCTTATCTTCTTCTCCTTCTCCTTCTTCATCTTTGTGTTCTTCTCGAGTCTCCATCGAAGACAATCCTCCTGTTTCGGATAGAACTTCCTCCGGCTATCTCTCCGATGGTCTTATCGGCCGAGCCCAGGAAAAAAAGAAAGGTATGTGAGTTTCAGTTTCTTTTTTATACCTTGCTATTTTATTTCAAAACAAATTAAGTTCTTGCTATATATACCACATTTTCCTTTCCTTCCTTAAAAATGAAAACAAGTATATATATTTTTAGGAGTTCCATGGACAGAAGAGGAACACAGAACATTTCTAATAGGGCTAGAAAGACTAGGAAAAGGAGATTGGAGAGGCATATCCAGAAACTATGTGATTACAAGAACTCCAACTCAAGTTGCAAGTCATGCTCAGAAATATTTTCTTCGCCTTGCTTCTCTCAACAAGAAGAAGCGCCGTTCCAGCCTTTTCGACATGGTACACATATACATACATATTTCTTGATTAATTAATATGAATTTCATAATCTGAATTTAATAGTTTTTATGCAGGTTGGGAGCAGCAATATTCAAGGTAGTACTACTTGTAATTCAGAGCTGAGTGATCATCATCAACCTATCGTTGATGCTCAATATTTGAAGCAAAGTGCAAGTACCTCCGATGAATATGACACCGTTTTAGGCCTTAATAACTCTTCTAATAGTCATAACCAAGAATCTGATGACTATTCTAATCATCATCGTCATCATCAATTAGTTTCATGCAACCATTTCTTGCCTTTCCCAAAACCTTCAAATGCAGAAGATGATGATAATGATCTGGAACTCACTCTTGCAGGTCCATCTTCTCTTCAACCAAATAAACCTTCCCCAAGTCCCTTTCTCATCTCCATTAGAGCTACCTAGCTAGTAATTAATTCATCTCTCTCTCTCTCTCTCTCTCTCTATATATATATATATATATGTGTGTGTGTAACATCACTGTTAGTAGTGCTATTAATTGATTTCCGGCGTAGTAATCATGTGTTCATAGAGCTGAATTAATATATCCTTGATTAAGTTCTCTTTACAATTATTATTATTATTTTTTCAAATTTTCTTCTAGGATATTGAATAAATATCAGTGTATTAATAATGGAGTCCTTCTCATCTCCACTTGTACAATGTACAGGAAAATTTCAGTATCATTTACCTAATTCTTAATTAATTAAAAACTTGTTAATTCTAGATTTGTATACTTTAAATTAAGACCTAGGTTTTGTACACTTAAATTCAGATGCAATTGAGAATCATATTGTTAGAAAAAAAAAAGTGGGGTTTTCTAGTTCGATATTGGGTTTGTTTCAAAACAGCAAAAATCAAGAGACTGCAAATTTTGCATGAAAGGCGTATGCACTATCACCTTGCAGGCTACTACTGATAGTTTTAATAATAATTGAGGTAGCTGCAAACATACTGTTACAGATACTGACAACTCAAGACCTATTTTTTTTGTCCAAACATGAAAGACATGGAGCCATTTTAATGGCTTCTCTGTTGCTTAACAGCTTTGTAACTAAAATCATGAATTGGAGCAAACTTTTGAAGAGAAAAGTCTTTCTGTTTTTGTGTCTGTTATTTTCTGTTTTGGGATCCTACAATTTTGAAGAGAAAAATCGGAGCAAATTCATGCACTAGCTAGGCAATTAGTAATTTCCTTTTATTAATTATAGGAGCAAAAAGAATTTTGACCTTTGAAGGCAAAATATTCATGATGAGTATTTAATTTATATGGTAACCCCTATATATTGAACAAGACCAGGAAATATACATAGAAATCATCAAGCTTGTGCTTGACCTATATATATATATATATATATCACAAGAGCAGCAAGTGCTAATGCTAAACATAGTTTTTTTTTTTTTTTTTTTTTTTTTTTTTTTTTTTTTAACTTCCAATTCTAAGTTGGAATTTTCTGTTAATAAAACTTGGAAATTGGGATTTTCGTAAACCAAAATTTCAAGTTTTGAACCATAAAAAAGACCTGCTTTTGACTGAGTTATTTCAGGGATGAGAGTTAGTTTGTATAAGTTCCAACCCTAACTGCATTTTTGTTTACGTTATCTTACATTATAGGACAAGAACCTTGGAATGGTGGATGACATTTGACATGCATGTGGTTGTTGTCTATATATGATCACAAGCTGAATTATCATATAAAAAGAATTGATAAAATTTATGTTTGGTTAAAATGAGTGAATAGAAACATTACACATCTCCATTTAATGTAGCTTTTTCTTTATTTGAAGATAAGGAAATTAACCAGGAAACGAAGCTCGTCCACAACCACAAGCTTAATTATATTACTAGCATATATCATCTTTTAGGCATTCAATTCTACCATTTTCTGTTGCTTACTGAGGGAAACATAAATAGACCAAAGGACGTTAGAGAACAATTTGGGGGACCTCAACGAACATTAGATGCTCTTTTATATATATATATATATATATATGTTATGCTACATGATAATACATGAATTTCAAAAATTAAAAAAAAAAAAAATTATGTAGCTTTCATTTTTTTCTGTGTGTGCGTTTTTGTCTGCTTGAATTTATATCATTTGTCACATTTATGGTCACTTTTAAGTTAAAGTGACTTTTCACCCAACTAGTTTGTCTTATTTGCATGCTGTTGCTATCGGTGACGTGTCATATAATAATTTCAATGTATATATATTATATATATACACACATACTTATCTACATGTATAATATCCACTTTGAAGTTCGGGTGTTATGTGTAAATTGTGGAGGATAAAAACTTTGTTTCCTATCACATATATATCTCTCTATTTTGGGTCATTTGGTTTGTATTATTTCATATATAAAACAATTCTGAAACAAATCACAAATTAAGGAGATTATTATTATTATTATTATTATTGTGTCAAATGAGAGAATAAAGTTTTATAGATTTAGCAGTTACGTGTCTTCAAGCTTTATCTCTTTATTTAAAAGGTCTCTTACTAGTCTAATAAGGTATTTTTATACCCTAATATATTACTTTTTTTTGTATTTATCCAATGTGAAATTTGTTGAAAGATGTACTGTTCAATGTCATGTGAGATTTTCCAAAAGGTGTTATCATGAACTTTTAGAGGGTGTGACTCTAAAGTCCGAGCATGGAGGCCCATGTGTGTATATAAAATACTATTATCCTAATTTTGATGATTAATATTATGTATGTCAATGATCTGGTATGGTTAGGATATTTTCGTTTAATAAAATTTTGAATGAAGTTGTCTTTCCATTTGCTATTTTGATTTAACAGAATTTAATGTGATAGAAATTTATTGTGATCCCGTTATCGGCATTTATATATAAAGTTAAAAAAGACAAAGCCATAGTGTCAATTTGTCTTTCTAAAAAACCTATATTATATGTAGCAAAACGACTTGTTATTGCATTAAACACTTATTTATAGTTAAATTTGCTATTAACTCAATAATGACAAAAATAGTAGTACGTCCAAATTGCCTACGGAGAGGAAAGGTCATGTAAAATGAGCAGACTGCTTATCTTTAAAAGATTGTCGCCAAGTTGCTATTGGGTTAATGGGTCCAAAATTGATTATATGTAACGTGCATCTGATATGTATCTAATGTCTGAGTCATCGTGTTTCATATATATATATATATATATGTAAAGAGGATGTTTATTGTGAGATTGAGATTTGAGAGTGAAAGATAAGGTGGATTATAAAGATAGGAAAGGAAGGAAACTTGCCAACAAGCTGCGAAGGAACATGGCCTCTAGTTACAAGGTATTTCTGACTATGTGCTGTCCAGGTTCTGAATTTTGTTGTTGTGGGTATCCTTCGAAAAACAACAAAGAACAAGGGGACCACTCGCAGTCTTATTCGTGGGTAACCATTTGTCGTTTTTGTTTTTTTACTTTCTGATTTTACGCTTGTGCATACCATGATGCCAAATATTGTTTCTGTCAATGTTATCATAACAATTAGCAAAAAGAAAATTGTATTTTTATATTTAAAGGAAAAAATAATTCTATCCATTCTTTGAGATTCTTTTCTTTTCTTTTTCATTTCAAAGACGGAATAATGGTAGGTGCTCCACTAATAAAGATTAAAGAACAATGCTAATTAATTCCGTGTTTAACAGATCCAGCCACTAACATGAATATGTATTAAACCAATTTTTGAGAAGGAAATGCAAGGAATCTAAAAGCTACTATTCATGCATAAATCCAAAACAAAAGAAATAATAAGAGTCCTTTTTTCAAGGAATTTCTGTGCCTAAAATGGATCAACTGCCACAAAAATCTTTGGGTATTTAATGCGCCAAAGAGATTACCAGTTTTCAAATTACGAAAAAAATTAAGGTTCAAAATTTAATAGCTACACATTAATCCTTTCAATTTCCCAAAATCGACACCTCAGTCATTTATAAAATTATAAATTTTAATTAATTAATTATAGAAAAAAATCAATAAAATTAAAAGACCTTTTTTGCAATATACATATTTTATAACACATGGAAAATGTTGGCGATCACTTATGAATTATACTGACGTTTGAACTGCCATAGACAGAGATCTCATTGCCTGGAGACATAAAAAGAGATGCCAATTTATTAGTCCTCAACAACCTCATTCCTATTTCGTCGACATAGTTGTGGTTTGCATTTCATGAGGAGAGCAAACTTTCATGAGAAGGAGAGCAAACTTATCAAATCAACACATGCAATTTGAGTCAAAAAGAAAAGGAAATATAAAAAAAAAAAAAAAAAAAAAAAAAAGAGAAGGAGAGCAAACTTATCAAATCAACACATTGCAATTTGAGTCAAAAAGCAAAAGGAAATATTTTAAAAAAAAAAAAAAAAAAAAAAAAAAAAAGAGTTCAACCACTTCTTAGGCATCACTATCATCTTCAACTCTTACGCAAATATAATATGCCATGGAGTAACTAAAAAAAAAAAAAAAAAAAAAAAAAAGAGTTCACATTCTAGGCATCACTATCAATCTCAACTCTACGCAATATAATATGCATGAGTAACTGAATAATTTAGATTTGTTCTCCTTTCCAAGGATTAAATTAATGGGTAACTGCGCATTTCCGAGGTTAATTTCTCCATTCACTAATAGAAATAATAAGCCATATCAGACGTCATAAACGTTTCTGGTATTTCGTAACTAAATATAAACCAGTTAGACAATGCACTGTATGCTTCCTCTAGCAGCAAGCTGTTAGGATAATGGCAAAAACAATTCAAATAGTATAAACACAGTTTGAAAACCCAATAACAAAAGGACATCGAGTCACTTCATTTATAATAATGCATCCAATCCGAAGTCACATCAACCCCATTTCATGCATTCTTTCCACCAACTTGTTTCCATTTTAACAAAAAAGAAAAAGAAAAAAAAAACAGTATACAGTTGTAACTTGCAAAAGTTATATAAGAAACTGAACAAAATCTTGAAAGCCTGAGTATCATCAAATCAACACTTCATATTTTTATATACGCCAAAATATCAAGTGAACCAAAATCAGCTATACATGGTGTGCTTATCATTACATGAAAGAGAAATAGCAGAACTTGCATATCTGAAAGTTAGAATTTGCCTTGTATTTTTTGACTTACAAATAAAGGAAAAACCAAAATGGAAACGCAAAGGGAATCAACTAATTATTAGACAAGAGACAGTGAGAGAGATGGTAAAAGAAAATTAAAATGACTTACATTACAAAAATGGATATTTTACAGAAAATAGGACATCTGGATAGTAGGGAGATGACCTGAATCAAAGATTAGAAGTATGTGGGCTTATGAAGCAATATCTACCGAGCTCTTGATTTCTTGCTCCCAATTGGCATGATCGTCCATCTATGGCGGTCAGAAGTTCATGTGGAAGTAGGCAACACGAGTTTTGCAATGGGAAAAAAATCTGTTCACTCAATCAACCTCCTTTGCACTCTTAAGCACCTGTCCTCCAGAGTATAAGAAGCCCATCAGGTATATGCTGAAATTTGCATGATTCATGTTTCAGTTAATATCATGAATCATGAGAGCCTTGGACCATCAAAGTAATACGCTTAGCACTGTCTGCACGAAAGCTATCTCCTTTATATCCAATCTGGGAGGAGAAATCATATTCAAAACACACCTCAAAACACTTGCTCTAACTGGAATTGGGCAAAATTTTAGACCATGCATCGTCTGCCGAATGTAAATTAGAGAATATATGCATTCATATGCATGTGTATATTTCATCTACTTATGAAGGCAAGATAATTACCTCAATTGGACCATCAGGGGGAAACCAACGCAACAGTACACCAAGATGCATGACAGCAGGAATCAACTTGAAAAGCAATGGTGTAGTCACCTGTACCATTAAGCATAGTTGAAATCTTAAATGGGCATGATTCACTGTATCCATGACCATTATACAAGGTCAAGGATACAACTATGCAGGTTTACAGATTTTGTGAGATCCAGAGAGTACTGCATCATTTAACACAATGCTAATTCAGGGAAATTTTATATATTGCATTTTCATTTTCAAGGATATTTATGTTACTTATTACCATAAAAAGCGGATCATTAAAATGTCACATTTTACCTCATTATAAATGAGTAACAGGATGCCTACTTACCAGACTCAGAGCTGTTGTTCCAAGCAGCAGTAGATACAATTTACCCTGCAAGAGTCAAAACAAACTTAAGTTGCACTTCTAACAATCTAGACCAATATGTTAGGAAAAACGTCTGCCTGGCCCATTGGATCTCAGTTTTGGCCTTGAGAGAGGTCCTTCACAAACTCTCATACGTGCCAATGCTTTTATGGCATTATCCAGAAAGAATATGCCACAAAAAAAAAAAAAAAAAAAAAAAAAAAAAAAAAAAAAAAAAAAAAAAAAAAAGAACAGAAAGTAATTATTCAAATCTAAAGCAAGTCTAGTTGATTATATAAATTTATGAGAAAGAGAGAGAGTGGAGCCATGATTACTAGAAAAGATCACGTTCCAGTTTATCTTAAGTTCCTCAAACCTCAAATTATGGAATTGATATTCTAATACAAGCTTCTCCATACACGAAATCACAATCATTTCAGCAAAATGGAGTTTGCTTAACATAGATGCAGCAAATGAAAATGAAAACGTACAACAACAATTAGTATGAGAAGATTATTTTAGTATGGATGCAATTACATTACATTGAAAACATACCCATAACTGAAATACTAACCTCAACTAGATGAAGATTAGAAGCACGGCTTAGGAGAACAAAAGCAAATTCCCCAATTTGAGCCAGAGACATTCCAACCTACATAGGGAAATAAACCCAAGGCCTTCTGTCAATGGAACATATAAAACAAAACAAAACAAAATGAATACATGAGCATTCTAGCAGTTCCTTGAATCTTACAAGAAGCGAAGTTTTATTGCTGTATCGAAACCCCTTGACAACAACCGCAACCACAACAGTTTTTATGATAATCACCAATAATACAGCTGCCAGTAAAATATCAACATGATTCCATAGGAAATGGACGTGTATTAGCATCCCAATGCTGGCAAGAAAGAGAGCCGCAAAGAAGTTGCGAATTGGTTCAACCTAAAAGAAAATTAACTCCAAATGAGAGAAAACATGGAAGACTTCCCAATAGATAAGAGCCACACCTTCCAGCAAGATAAAATAAGAAAACCACAACAGGGCAACAAACGTTGTAGATATGTAAATTGTAAATGTTGCAGACAATAGAATATTTTGGGGAAATTACAGAGAACCTAACATTTGGCCTGTTATACATTTTGGCCTCCTTTTTCAAAATGCAACATCATTTTTTTTTTTTTTTTTTTTTTTTTTGTAAAATTTAATTTAATATACCTAAGATATGTGAGACACACTAAATTTGCAACTATTGTATTGTATTCTTAATGTATATATTCCTGGTCAAACACCAACGTCATTATATATTTGTAATTCAGGATTTTTAATTGCCCTCTAATTATATTGTGCCTACTAAATATAGGGGAGATTATTATGCGACAAATTTTGAGAATAATTTGGGTGGAAAGATAATTAGCAGAAGACTAACCTTTATTACAATTTGGAGATTTCACTAGTACTTATTACTTTATTATTGGGCCTCCTTTTTATCAAAAGCCAACATTTCAATTTTTTTTTTTTTTTTTTTTTTTTTTTCTTTTGACAAATTAACAGACATATCAATATCATTCTAATCAGTCTCATTCATACAAGTCCAAAATGAGGAATGCTTTAATTTGTTAACCATAAACATGTCATGGTTAACTCTGGATTCAGACTTCCGGCCCCTTAGGCACATAAAGGACCGAAGAAATGTCAGGATTTTTTAAGACAACTCACAGGAAACTCAATTTAAGTTTATAAAATTTTGAACAAAAATATTAATACTCAAATTTCGTATACATAGTAACCCATAGAAATTAAAAACACTCCAAGAAGGAGACATTTTTGAACTCTTTCTCGACATAATTTTCAGTCCCATTGTAACATGACGGAAGAAGCTAGAGTAAGAACCCAATAAAACGAAAGATTTTTTTTTTTTTTTTTTTTTTTTTTTGAAAAAATCACTTCAGTCTTCATACAGTCCAAAATGAAATGTTTTGAACATAAACATGTCATCTTGGACAGACTTCGTAGCCCATAAAGGACCAAAATGTCAGTTTTTAGAAAACTCAAGGACTCAATAGTTAAAATTGAAAAAAATATCAAATTTTATACATATAATAGATAAAACCTCAAGGAGACATTTTGTAATTTTTCCAATAATTTTCAGTCCATTGACAGACAAGAGTAATAAGAAATAACAAAGATATAGATGATACAAGAATGACCAATGAATCTAACAAACAAATTTCCACCAAAGCCACAATGGAAGGGCCAGTACATGTGTGTGTGTGTGTATATATATATATATATATATATAGAGAGAGAGAGAGAGAGAGAGACAGAGAAGGGAGAGAGAGGTTGACGATAACTATGCAAGTCAAGACACTAAACACTTACTTGTTCAAGCGTATGTTGAGCAAGATCAGTTGTTGATATCATAACTCCAGCTGCAAAAGATCCCAGTTCAAGGCTCAAACCCAGCTTATCACTACACTGAAATACAAAATCAAACTATCATGTGTTTGTGCATGTATCTAGTTGAAGCAGGCAGAAGCATCAGCAGACAAGACACAACTATGACCTGACAACTAGAATACCTATTCTCTTTATTCCCCTTTTTCACTCACTTTGTGAGATACTACAACTTAAAAGAAGCAAACAATAAAACTAACCGGTCCAACTCTTATAAACATAAAATCAATTGCATTAAAAGTGCATCAATAACAACAAAAGAATAATAAGGAAATGAGACTAACCCAAGCAACTAGTAAGCAAAATGCCACTGATGCCAATTGATAGAGTTCATTAGTCTGCAAAATAAAACTCCTTTCAGAAATTCCATACCATAAAGTATAATATAATAGTAAATAGTGTAGTTTTACCTGTGATGATAGGCTTATCATGAGCTTCAGGAACCATGGTACACAAGTGCGAGATAATATTGTCAAGAAAGCCAGAAATGCTACAAGCAGCACCAACCTGAAAATATAAACATGCTGCAAGTGAATAGGACAAAAGAATCTTGTACTTGATACGTGGAGTAGCCCAAAGACAACCACACGCTAATAATGCAACCAGTAACCAAACTAAGAATCAAATTACTGTTTTACATGTGAGTTCTGACAGAGCCATCAATTACACTACACGTGTAGAAACAATGTATTAATTAGCATTCTGCAGTCGCACAACAGAAAACCTAGATATTAATTTTCAAGTCATTCTATCCACATACATTGATCCTTTATAGTACATATCATTTTAGGAACTGTCAAACTTCATCATTTATATACTACAAATACACAGAGAGAATATATAGAAACCAATGCAAGACAGAATTCATATTTATCTAGTGAAAATTGATGAGATCAAAATATTAAGTTGTTTAGACTCTTACGATTTAGTCATAGATACGACTCCTTGAAGAACACCAGAAGTGCCACCCAGAACAGGAAGCAAAGCAAACAGCAGACCAACTGCACAATCCTGACAGGCATAAAGCTCAAAACTTTATAGCAAACAATTAAAATAATTAAGCATTATAAAAAAAATATATAACTTTAGATCTTTCTCTTTTAATTCTTTTAAATTTATCCAAATATGACATAGCAGTATCGTAGCATCTTCCAATGCAGATTTGATGAGTGAGGAAATCAATACCTGCAGGATAAGGGTACCAATAGTGACTTGACCATGCAGAGAATTAATACTATTCTTCTCCATCAAAAATTTCAAAACCTGTGACCGTGCAAGGACAACAACAATATATGAAAAAGAATGTTTGGATTTCAAATATAATAATTATGAAAGCAATTGCTAAGGAAAAACAATTAGGTAACCTAGACTAAGTTCAAGAGACAACTAAGTCAACACGTGTACAATTTTATTTTCAATTTCCATTATTTCAGAGAGTTCTCTCTGCAGCATGTTGAAATAAGAAACAGAATCAGAGATAACAACAATCCTTAGTGTGAATGCTTTGATCTTAGAGATAGACAGTTTCTACCAACCATATGTTTCTCGTCTCTTAAGAATGAACAAGCTTCTATGCAACATTTATAAACACTAGAAACTAGCCAAAACATTAAAAAAAAAAATTTAACCTGCCAAACATACAAGACAAAAATACATAATTGATTAGAGTTTTACCACTGCAGTAGATGACATAGACAGGAAAGCACCAACAAATATTCCCTCTGAAGACTGACCACCACATAACTGCAAAAAGCATGAAATAGATGCATCAAAAACTTGTAACCAGTTAATTTAAGAGAAGAAAAAAGTAAATAATCAAACCAACCCTTTCTTCAACTAAAATTCAGTAACAAAGCTCCACAAGGCTCAGTCAGGATTTACCACCAAAAACAATGGCATATTCTGCCATAGCCCCAGAGACAGCCTAAGCATTGCCCTCCAAAGACAATCTAAAGTTCAAATTGGATTCCCCAATGCCACACAAGCAAACACTTTTATATGTGGGTTCACATATACATGTGTCATGCATATCCACAATCTCATATATAATAGTTAGAAATTGTATGATGAATTGATCCTATACTTGTGCCAAATGTTGGTTGGTATTTGAATAAGCTAATCCATATCAGGCATTGCATCCTTGCATGTTTAGCTTCCATTAACTGATCGTTTAAACTCATACCATAATGATTGAGAGCAAAAAAACTACAATTGTGGATATACAATTCACAGGATTATGCTAACATACCGAGACTGTTATTCCACATAAGCAGATAAATAGGAAAATCTGGAGAAGACCTCCTAGAACAGCAACAGCTCGAACAACACGAAGCTGCATTTTTTAGAAAGTAAATAATTTGATAGCTTACATCTTATAGGAAAGATCAATTAGACAAATTAAAGCAACATGGAAAACACAAGCAAACCTTTGTTGCGGAGAATTCCAGGCCCAGTGCAAATAGCAGAAAAATCACACCAAACTGAGCCACTGTTTCAACCTAAATTTCATATTCATATAAGAAAAACAGTATGTATAGTATGCATCAATTATCTGATATGAACCTTGGGAGAATCATACCCTCCCACAGTTCACATCAACATCATCATAAGCTACCCGTGAAAATAAACTAACCAAAGGCTGAAATAGGCTAGCATTAGGAAGAACTGCACACATCTTTCTGCCAAAATTTCACATAACTGTTTGACCCACTAAAATGTGAAAGCAATAACACAACAATAAGAAAGTTTGGAGAATCACATTTTGACCTCAAACAAACATATATATCATGAAAAAAGACAAAAAGAATACCACCACGCAGAAAAATACATACACATACAAATATCAAACTTCTGGTAAAACACTATTCCCAAATCATTTGTTCATTACAGAAGACAGAGACAACATACTTGCACCATTTCACTGACAAAGCTCAAGCCCCCAGGTCCAATAATAGATCCTGCTAGCAGATATCCAGTAATAACCTGCAAAATTCAAAATGGGTTCAAATCCATAAACAGTAGTTCGTCATAAACAAGATGCGGGGAAATAAGCCTAACCGGTTGTCCGGCACAAGCAAATGCAATCCCACCACAAGTTGCAGAAACAATGACAACTACCAGATCTGATATCAATCTGCAATGTAGCGATTCGAAAAGGAAACATTGGTCAACAAATTGCTGTTAGCTGTTGTCTCATGGAATTATGAGAATAAGAAGAATTGAGCTAACCTTAAATCTAGTTGCAACACAGGGTATTTGGATTTTGGGTTCGATATGATAAAAACATTGTCCTGAGGATAAAAATTTTCAATTAAGGTCATAATTTTCCCATCATCATATAAAATATTGTCAAATATAGGTATCAAAATGCGAAAAACTAGTTAACATCACCAGAAGAGTAGTATAGAACAAGTTTCAAAAAGTGTAAATATGAAATACCTTTCTATCAATCAATGTCGGCATATCCTCTGCTCGATTCTCATTGTCCAAATTGAAGACATCATGAAACTGAAAAGACCTAACAAATGGTTCTCAATTGGTCACAGTTCTTAAATTTGAGTTAATGACGCTTATCATAACAACATTCATCAAAATAATTTTGTAAAATGTTTAAAAAGAATAACAATCTCTAATGTTCTTCAATAAATAAGCACGTACTTTTCCTCTTTCGTGTCATTTTTCTTCGACTTAACTCTGGCTACAGTTTCCAAAACTGCCTGGTAAAATCAAACATGTTAAGTTCAGCCATCATCTAAGACCATAACTCCATAAGCTTATTCAAACGATACAGAAAGTTAAGTATCAGGTCTCATGATAGAAACATCCATTAAAATATGCACACAGCCAGTCATGACTCATGACGTCATAGTGCTTCATTTCCCCTTTGGTGGTGGAATGATACGGCTTTTATTTTATAAATTAAAAAACTACTTTCCACCTTATCATTACTCAATGTGGCATAGAGACTCAAAAAAATAGGAAAAGGACAGAAAGACCAAACATAATGGGGTAACCTGAGGTTCAATATGCTCCTCATTTCAATGTGCCACCATTATGCATAAATACAAACCATTCTGTTAATTAACAACTGTGTTGATAGCATGTTTGCTTTCCTTAGAACCATTTATGATTGGAAAAAAACCACTTCGCCATAGTTGCACAAAATCAAAATATCTCAAAAAAGAATGGCATTTCAAGTCATTGCTTTTGCATTTTACACTTTACATATTCAATGATTAAACTTGGCAACAACCAAAAGATCTCTAAAAAAAATTGCAACCTCACTAATACCTTCTTATGAGCCATTAGCAACTTGATTTTTACTTTGCTAAAATTCAAATAAGTTATTTGAAACAATCAAAGGACACTTGTAAGTCCAACTACAAGTGTTATTAACCTAAAAATGGTTCAAATACACAGTTCTAAAATATTATTATTAACACAAGCATAGTGACCAAAATAACTACCCTATAAGGCATATCTAAAAGTCTGAATACCTCTATGAAATTTCAGCTAGCCCTCGTCTGAGTAATAATTACTCATACAACTAACCAGATACTGCAAAAAATATGGCGTAGATGAAAAAGAGCTATTCAAGTTCACTATGCGACATTGTGACTAAAAGAGAAGACAAACCACTTATTGGTTTAAAAAGTGAACAGAACATGAAAAGCTAATTCAGGGAGAAAAAACACGAACCTGCTGTCCAGCAACACTGTTATTGAAGCTACCAGGATCAGTGGCTGCAAGAGAAAACACAAGAAATAATCCTCATATACATATTTTGCCACTCGAACCTTCAACAAAATATTGCTAAAGTGAAAAAATGATGATCAATCCCTATCTTACATTTCATTAGTTACAAACGAAAAATTAGCTTTACATTCTTATTAGACATTAAAAAGGGAAATACGACGAAAGATATCAGCTACAAATGTCCATAAAATTCAAACAAATATTTCCAAACAGAAATGCGGGAACGGCCTAGTGACTGAAAACTTTCTTTGAGAAAAAAAAAAAAGGTAAAATTAACAGGACATTCACTTAGTGTTGTTAAATTTATGGAAAATTGAGCAATCCTGATTGAACTGATCCACAAACTGGAAAACCCTACTCCCAGCGATAACAGAAAATGGAGCCCCAGAACCTAAAAACGAAATGCACATGCAAATATAAACAGAAAGAAAGAGGCTCAGATCTAGTACAGACATTCATTCTGGTCTGTCTCGTTGAACTCCTTCTCCAAAGCCCTATCAATCATGTCAGCAAAGCTGTCCTCTCTGGATCTCGAACGCGTCGCGTTCGACTCCGCTGTTGCATTCATCTCCATCGCCGAGTCCGACTCGGCAACCGCTAGAGAGAAGAAGAGAGCACAAACGAATAATGGAGCTAAAACTAGCCTCATTCCCGAGAGAACAGGGAGAAGAGAAGAGTGCGTGTACTGGCAACGGCCAAGTCGGCGTTGGCTTATAGGATTTGCTTTCACTGTATCTTCCTCTCGGCTTGTGAAGAACGAGAGCTTGTGAAGAACGAGAGGGAAAGTTTTTAGTTAGCTTAGAAATGGAGGATCGTACGAGTAAATGTACGATACGGTCCTTGGTGCGTCTAAAAAGATAATATACAGTGCAGTTACGGCTCATTGAATGTCATAGACTTGCTCGCTGGGGATTCGAAGGCCTAAGGGTCAAAAGTTGATTGTATGATCATGACCGTAAATTGAAAGGCGGAGGTCAATATATTTCACATACATGTTGACGTTGTAATCTAAGATATTATTAGGTGGGCCACTTTGAAATATGGCCCACAACGTTTTGACCTATATGACCATAGAAGGAAAGTTGGCCACCGTCAACTTCAGTTGGTGATGGCCTGAAGGGGAGGAAAGTAGGAGAGGGCATATATGGAAAATGAGCAAATGGTTTTTGTAACTTCTGTTTTCTTTCATGATACTAGTCCTAATTTGCCTTTTCTATATTTACTTCACTTACCAAGATTATTTAATGTGTAATGGAAGTCATTCGGAACTTACAATTTCATTTCATCAAATCATTAATCAACTACTACGTTCTCGTTTTTACTGTGAATTGTGCGGCATATGTTAAAGGTTAAAAGTAAAAGTCATTTTAATTTGGAAGCATAAAAGTTGAATTAATTTCATTGGAAATAATTTTTTTTTTTAAGAATGGGACAATGGTCAATTTGATATAGCTAGCAATTAAAAATACATTAATAATAACAATTGATCCTTAATCACAAAATAATATCGGGATAGATTATATACATCCTCTATTTTTATTATCCTCTCTCTAAAGAATGAAGTGCTTAAAATACAAAAATGATTTATTTATAATAATCTAGTGCGTTGTTTGAAGCGTAATGCAAAATTAGTTTAGTGGGCATAGTTTAGTCAAGGTAAGAAAATGAGTTTGGTTAGTTAAAGTTGCATGGCAAAATTCACGTGAAGGAGATTGGTAGTGGAGGGGTGCCCAACTATAAGGGCCTCAACCCGATTGCAATTTGGATTCTTTTGGGCCTAACTTCCGATCCAGCCCAAACAAATTTAAGAGATACAAGAAAATATTTCTGCCCAATGGGTAAAAGTTAGAACGACAAGGCCACTATCTAATGTAATACAGATTGTAGAAATGTAGAATACGTCTTGTACAGCGCAGGGGTGGGCAAATCTTTCTTTCCCATGTATTAAGCGTTCTGCAAATAAAGTTGCAGACTTGGAATCTAGGAGTACGCTTAAGCATATATGCCTGAACGGTGGGTTTTTTTTTATGCCAGTGGTGGTTTCATGATCTAATAAAGTTTCTGCTTTAGTTCCAAGAAAAAAAAAAAAAAAGGAAATGCATGTTTAATAGCCAAATTGTAATTATTATTGTCAATAAGTGTAGTCTAATTGGTCTTTTCACTTATATAAGGAATATGAAATTTAAACTTGAAATCTCTTGACCATAATAATTTTCACTTTTTCAGTAAATAAAGAGGATCTACTGATATTATAATCTACTCCCACAGTGTTCTTTCCAAATATTTATTACATGAACAGTAAAATTCTAAGTATATTTATATATGGAGTACAAACATTCATAATGTGAACATTGAAAGTAGAGAATTGAGTGGAGTGTCCACTGATAATCCGATAATCAAAATGTTTTCTAGCAATTATGTGCAGTTTATTAAAATAATAAGTGCATTAGTTCAGTAACCAAATATGCTTCACAGAAGCAAAAGTTAGAAACTCAAATATGTTGGTGGTGGTGTGCCCACTCAAGTGGGACCCACTCACATTTGAAAAGAAAAAATAATAATAATAATAATAAAACACACGTTTTTCTTGCCAGTCAAAACCATACCGCGGAAGAAGAAAGCCATACCGCGGAAGAAGAAAAAGAAATTTCAAAAGGTTGGTGAAAGCAGCTCATTCTTAGGGCGGTGATTGCGCTATTCAAAGGGTGGTGAAAGCAGCTCATTCTTAGGCGATGATTACGCTGAATATTCGCTAACCTCTCCTATAAATAGGAGAGGAATTGCCTCGTTTCAGTGTGAAGCCATGCTAGATCTGAGTTATCTTGTTGAAGAAAAGATTTGAGGTTTATAGTTTTAAGAAGGGGTTCTTAAAAACTACGGTTTAGAAAAATAGTGAAGATTATTAGGGTGTTTTTGGAAAACACGGGGTTGAGTGCCATTATTTTTTGTATTACTCTCGGTAAGCCTATTATTTTGTAAATTAGTAAGAAGAATCATTCGGAAGTTGGTCCGTGGACGTAGCCCTGAAACAATTGAGGTGAACCCACGTAAAATCTTTGATATCCGATCCATGTGTCCCATTTTAATTTCCGCTGTGTTATTGATTCTCGTAATTTTATTGCCGGTATCCTAACAAGTGGTACAGAGCCCAGGTTCGGAGCGATGTGTGAACAGGGACTGCGCAGTGTGAGAAAATCTCGTCACTGTGACGGTGTTTGTAACAACAGGACCAAGACAGAGAAAATCTTGCAAGTGGGGCCTTGTTGTCGAAAGTCTTCCCGACAAGAGGAGGTTCGGGCGAACGTGTCCCGCCAAATTGTAGCGGCGGTACAAAGATGGTGGGCAGATTATCCCTGTAGGGGAGGTCCCACATTGTGTGATTGGTCCTTGGTTGAGGGAGGTTTGTTGGATATCCTCCCAAGTCTCACATCGGATTAAAGTTGTATTACTCTCTTTGTAAGCCTATTATTTTAATAGTGGAAGAAATATTCGGAAATGGTACTGTGGACGTAGCCCTAAACAGTTAAGGGTGAACCACATAAATTTCTGTGTGTCACAATTTTATTTTTCGCTGCCATAATTATTCTCGTAATTTATTGTTGGTGCCTAACAAGTGGTATCAGAGCCGAAGGTTTCGACAGGTCCAACCAGACTGATAGCGGTACCGGATCCATGGATATATTTTGAAAATAAATATACCACGACGACGAGTCCATTGGTGCAGTCCGTTCAAAAAGACGTTGCAGAACCAACCTAGTGGTGAATAGTAAAATAGTAACTCTGGTAAACAATACTATTGGCGTTACTGTTGTTGAGCCCGTCATTGTTAAGCCCAGCACTATTCACGTATGATACTATTCACGCATATAGGTACTATTCACGTAGTACTATTTACGTGTGCAGTTACTATACTCGTATGCTAGTACTATTTACATATACGGACACTATTCACTCAAAAGTTATGGAGGCTAAGACGAGCAAAATGATCAGTCTAAATGGCGCAAATTATCATATATGGAGAAATAAAATGAGAGATCTCCTTATGGTAACCAAAATGCATCTGCCCGTCATTTGCCCGTGTCTTGGTTCAAGCAAACCGGAAGATAAAGACTGATGGAAGAATGGGCTTTCGAAGCATGAACAAAGTTTGTGGTTATATTCGACAATTTGTCGATTGATAATGTGTTCACAACCACATCTGTAACGGAGACTCACGGCTTAGAACATTATGGACAAGCGTTGAACAGCTATATGCCTCAATTAATCCGGCAACAACAATTATTTTAATTTGACAAAGCTGAATGAATTTCAAATACCAAGAAGATACCTCTTGTAGCAGAATCACTTGAGTGAAATGCAGGCGAGTGAAATGCAGGCGACTATTCACCAGCTATCAAATATGGGCATAAAATTTGATGATAAAATACTCGGCCTTATGGTGCTTGCCTCCTTACCAGAATCTTGGGAGACTCTGAAGATATCAATAACAAACTCTACACCACAGAGTGGAGTTAGCTGGGAATTTGTTAAAACTGCTGTTCTGAATGAAGAAATGAGACGAAAAGCACATAATCCTTCTTCATCTCAGTCAGACATTTTTTTTAGCAGATGCTAAAAGAAATAACCAGCCCAGAGGGAGGAGCCAATCTAGAAGTTCAAATACAAGAGATAAGAGCAGGGGTAAATCAAACAGATTCGCCAATACTGTGTGCCCTCATTGTGGGAAGAAGGGCCGGAAGAAGGGGCACATTAAAAGGTATTGCTCGAAGTTCAAAAGTGATCAGGAGAAGATCAAAGGCAAAACAAAGAAAGAAGAAAGCAGTGATGATGAAGCTAATGTTATTACTGAGTTCCAATTGTTCATTAAAGACACTATCAACCTTGTAGCCCAGGAGACTAGTTCGGTAATTGATAGTGGGGCTACACTTCATGCAACATCCTGGAGAGAAAATTTTTCATCTTACACACCAGACAATCTGGGTGTGATCAAGATAGCAGACGACAAACTGTTGAAAGTCGTCGATAAGGGAGATATTTGTTTGGAGACAGAAAATGGTTCGAGATTAATTCAAAAAGATGTCGTGCATGTACCAGACATGCATTCTAAATTAATCTCGGTTGGTAGACTTGATGCTGAAGATTTCTATAGCACCTTCAGAAATGGTAAGTGGAAGCTCACAAAAGGTTCCATGGTGATAGCCAATGGAAGAAAAGACCCAAAGTTGAATGTAATGCATGCGAAGCTCTCCCAAGACAAACTCTCCCAAGACACTTTGAGTGTAGCAGAGAATGACAGTACAGTTGAATTGTGGCATAAACGACTACGCCACATGAGTTAGAAAACTCTGGCAAGAAAGAACGTACTACCTGGATTGGATAAAGTTCACCTAGACAAGTGTCCTGATTGTATGGCAGGAAAGCTCAACAGAGTAGCTTTTAAGATTACCCCTCCTTCTAGAATGAAGAATGTATTAGATCTGGTACATTCAGATCTGTGTTGACCATTGACGGTGTCATATGGTGGAAATCGATACTTCGTTACATTTATCGATGACCATTCTAGGAAGACCTGGGTATACACTTTGAAGTCCAAAGATCAAGTTTTAGATGTTTTTAAACAAATTTGTAAACTTGGTTGCACAAGACAGGCAAGAAGCTGAAGTGCATCAGAAACAGGATAATGGTGGAGAATTACACTGGGCCATTGAATGCTTTTCTGCAAAGAGCATGGTATTCGACATCAAAACAAAACACCTCCAAGACGCCGCAGTTGGAATTGTTTGGCTGAGAGGTATAATAGAACTTTGATGGAGAGAGTTCCGATGTTTACTCTTCA